CAACTCGAGCGACCTACGAACGCGAGAGACGGCTGAGCCCGCGAGAACGGTGGACGTGCTCGTGTGAATGGGGAAGATCAGCGGATGAGCGTGGGCCGATAATCTCCGGCCTGCGGCCTATTTTCAGTCAAGCCGTTCAATCAGGTGGAGGAGTGACGTAACGCACCCCGTTGAAATGGGGAAGGTCGATCCGCTGTCGCGGCACACACTCCGACACGCACCAACCAACAGCGGGGCAGGCGGAGGTGTATCACACCCCGAAGCGTATCACAAAAGAGTTAACACACACGAGAAAGCCACCGCGCTTGCGGTTCGGCAGCGGCAGCGGCAGCGGCGGCGGCGGCGGCGACGGCGGCGACGGCGGCGGCGGCGGCGACGGCGGCGACGACGGCGGCGGCGGCGGCGGCGGCGGCAGTGCGTTGCGTTGCGTTGCGGCGCGGCGTGCCGCCGCGGATGTAGTGGAGGCAGCGTTACGCTCGCGAGAGGTCGGGTCAGAGGGAGAGAGCTGACTACACCACCGACTGTTTACGGATCGCGCGCGGTCGCGGCCACGGCAGCGGCGCGTCGCGACGCGGCGCGAGCACCTCTTCCGCGACTTCTCTTCGCGCGCGCGATCCGCGACCTCGCTTGGCCGCGGCGGAGGCGGTGACAGCAGCAGCAGCAGCAGCAGCAGCAGCGGCGGCGGCGGCGGCGGTGGCGGTGGCGGCAGCGGTGGCGGCAGTAGCGACGGTGGCGGACGCGATCGCGGATCGCACCGTGTGGAAACACGTCTTCGCACGTCGTCACCGGGTTACGTGAACGGCGAGAGCGACCATCCGCCACCACCAACACACCACGTGTGTGCTTGACGGCGCGATCGACGAGATGCGTCCGCGAGCCCTTCGACGAGAAGAACTTGTGCGTGTGTGTGCGTGCGTGCGTGCGCGCGCGCGCGCGTGCGTGTGTATGTATGTGTGTGCGTGTGTACGTGTTGGTATGTGTGTGTGTGTGTGTGTGGTGTGTGTACAAAGGGGTGCGGAACGCGTCGCTCGCGATCTACGTTCTGCGGCATACTAGCTCTCCTGCTCTGACGCCCGCCACCCACCCTCCGACCGGCTTCAGCGACCCCTCCCGCAACCCGCGACCCCTCGGGCCACCCGCCGTACGTCAGTTCCTTCCTTTCGCCCTCCACCTCGCTCTAGCTCTCGCTCTTTCTCTCTTTCTCTCCTTGTCACTCTCTCGCTCTCGTCATGCCGCCATGCCGCCCCCGCATCGATGGACCGACGCGCGACCGTTTCGCAGTACCGTCAGCGCCGGTAGCTGCCACCACTGGACGGGGTTGCGTACAGTGGCACCGGACGATACGGCGCCAATCAATCGTGATTCACTTTCAATCGACGGATATTTTCTCACGGCCCGGGTGTTGTTCTCGCCACTTCAGCTTGGTCGTGCCCTTCAGAAGTATCTTTCGCGCCCTCAGCCCATCATTCCCGCCCTTTTACGGGTTTGCTTTAGTACTCGATGTCGCCAGTACGATGGCGTTACGAAGTACATATAGCTTGAGTCCTAATCGTTGTTTCTTCCCTTAGCCGAGGGTGATGACGATGTCATCTCGAGATGTATCGTATTTTGCTACTGTGTCAAGGAACAAAACCGGGGTTTGTGAACTAAAAACTCTTACGCGCGTTTTAAACGTCATCATCGCGCGCATACTCTGTCACGCATCGCTCTGTGATCGTTTTCTTCGAAAAAATCGGATTTCGTATCTTTCGGGAACGAGTCCCTCACATACCGGGCACCGTTGTCCGTCCGGCTATTCAAATGCGGTTTCTATTCATTGAGAAAGCGTATTGCCAGCGGCGCTCCGAAGAAGAAGTGGATAATACGAGAGGAAACAGCATGGACAAAGCGGAAAGGAGAATAAAGTTGGACGAACAAAGTCGGGGAGAGATGAACGAATATAACGTATTAGAGAGCTCCCAACGACTCTCGATTCGAGCATGTTATTGGTTCAACGTGAGAAAACGGGCACGATGATTAAATCTCGCTTAAGTGGGATAATGCATCGAATTACCGGTTCCTATAATCACGTTTTATGGCATATCTTCGAACTATTCACAATAGTACGCATATATTGGAAAGCATCTGCGATTCATGAGCACACACATTCGCCTGTCTCAATAGGGCAAAAATCAAATATTTCCCGAAGGAGGGATGGAATATAATTGAAAAAAATCTCTCTATACTTATGCATACTTCGCACAAGCACTGAATCCACATTGCGAGTTTCGCTTGCTTCTCAAAAGTTTCTCTCGCGTATAATTGCTCCTTTTTCCTAAAATATAAAATCGTTCCCAGAGGACGCGAGGCATTCTGATTCTGCGCATGCATATGTGCTTCGTATACGTGGTTAATGCGAATTTATTTCTCGCGTTCTAATGAATGTGCATATTTTTTTTTTCTCACGCGAGTAGCGCGCTCGCTCGTTAAGCACGGCTTACCGATTGATTTATCGCCGCGCGATTGCATTCGCGCGGTTATATCGCAATGGATGCATACGCATGCAGTTTATAGAATATAAGCCTCCAGCGCATCTCATCGATCTTCGCGTTTTCCCAAAATATTAAGCGCATGCGCTAATCCTTTTCTTGGACGCTCACCGTGTGGGCGACGGATCAAGGGCTCCTCCGCCTCTTCAGAGAACGTGCATTTTAATGCAACACGGGCTGAACAAATTGATTTTCTCTTCGACACAGTGTTATTTCTCGTGTTAACGGAGCAACAAGTTTTCCACGTTTCTACGGGTATCGATCGTATTTCGTCCGGTTACCTTTTCACAAATTGCGCGATACAGTTTGAAAGTTGCGGTCTTGTGTCGATTCCGGATCCGATCGTCGTGTATTTCACCGCGGGGACGCGAGCCCGCGGATTTAGAATACAATGCGCACGGAACAACAACGCGATGTACCTCTCGCTGTGTTTCTACTTATGCATTCAAAACTTATAATATTCCTCTGTGCCTTTACCGTCCGCCGAATTTTATATTCAACGCGCTGTCAAGTGGAATATACGTGGGAAGTCCGAAACCGAGAAAAACGCGCGGGACGAATGTGCGTGTGTATGCATATGTACGCGTATGTGTGATATACGCGGCGGGAAGTAACTTGGGGGTGTGCATGAATAGTGAATGTAGCAGGCTGCCATGGAGAGAGACCAGCTTTATTTTTATTGTTCCCGCCTTTCTTGTATACGTGAAAAAGTTTCTGCTTATTTCCCATAATGCGGCGCGTCAGTCCGTGAACACACACGTATCGTTAAAAATAATTTACGATATACAGCATATTTCAAAGCGTAATTTCTCGCACGGCATTATATATCAAGATTTATATATAGGTCTCCTGACGAGGAACGTGTGGGAAATAAGTAATTGCCGTATGAGATTTTTGTAGGGCGAGCGAGACGGAAGCGAGCTCTAAACCTTCTCCCGAAACTGCTAGCGTACTCGAAGAGTGATATGATGTCATTTTTTCTCTCTCTCTTTCTCTCTCTCTCTCTCTCTCTCTCTCTCTCTCTCTCTCTCTCTCTCTCTCTCTCTCTCTCTCGCCAAGAACACTCGAAAGCTGCAGCTCGCGCCCGATTTAATTGCATGCATCTCGCGCCAGACGTTCTTTTATTTCTGTCCGTTCCACTTATGTCGCTAATCGAAATAGGGCGCCACATCGATTACGGCTGTATCCAGAGCGAGGTGCCAAATATCTCGTGAAAGGACACAGTGGGGTTCTCCATCTCGAGACGCCGATCTAAAATAGGACCAGACAGAAATGCGGACGAAGCCGGTCGGTAGGATACAAATAAATAACGAGCATCGCGCGTCAAGGATGAAGAAGGGATTAATAAGGCGCCTGGTAACGAGGATAGCTATCAAGACGCGCCAGATAGACCGATTAAATCGCTCCTCCTCCGTCTCCCTTCCCCTCTCTCTCTTTCTCAACGGTTCCTGTCTCTTCTCTGTTCGCTCGTTTCCACCGCATTTATCTTCCTCCCGCTGTAATTCTTTCCCTCTCTTCCTCTCTTCTCCTTTCTGTCTCTCTATCTCTTATCCGCAGCTCTCTCTCTACTACGGGATTTTTAACTGAGAATTTTAACGATCGACCTACATTTCCGCGCTCCATTTACGATGTATCCTAGGTAATGTCAAACACCGCGATAACTACAGTAGCCGGATCGGCGGATAGTCGTCGTAGGAACAAACAGCGACGATAACCGTACGACCAGACGACTATCGGAGTATACTCGAGTGGAAGTATGTAGTTTGGTGAAAGATACCATAAAAGTTGTCCGATGTAAACATGAATCTTGCCTTCTGCGAGTTTCACGATCTAGTTGCTTTTGAATTCAGAAACCACCAAATACGTCTGTCGTGTATAACGCGCATTTAAGCTGACATGTACATACGTACCTGTACACATGTAACACTCAATGATAGATTGAAGTAATCCCCCCCCCCCGCCCACCGCGGGATCTTTATTACAGTTCTTTCAATGGGTATGCTATATTTCAACAAATATGTCATTACTCAGTTTCGACGAATGAGAATGATAAGAGTATCATTCGCATCTCTTCCCACTCGTATTTTCACAATCAACCTTCCCCTATCAAAGATTGAGCGAATTTTCATCGCAGACTTTGCAGTAAATCCTTTTCAGTAAGTTAATGCACCATAGTAATAAAACTGCGGAAGCAGAAGCGACTTATTGAAGTTTGTGCGCTTCTCTTAAGATTCTATTTTTATACAAAAGAATGGGTTAAATGCATCGTCCTAAGTTTTTACGTAATTTTCGGCGATCATCTTAATGATACAGACGCCGGCATAAAGTTTCCGTCGTAAACACGTTCGACATAACAATTGGCCCGAATTACTTCGCGGTGGTCCGCGATGTAAACTAAAGGATCAACTTTTGTAATAGTCGTTTTATTCTGCCCATACTGTAGTTTCTGACTTTAAATTATAACGTACTTACCCTCATGTGCGGCTGGACCAATAATTCCTGAAGTTCTCGGAGATCAGCTCTATCAATATTTCGCACCGTTGAGTGCTCTGCTTCCCGCAGGATCTCTTCGACATCGCGAGCACGTTGAACTGCGTCCGTTTGCGGTGCTCGGCATGGTGTGGGCATGCGACCTGAGATCCTGTCATAAAGCTGCAAAATGGATAACACTAACATTGACAATGGTTACTTTTTAATATATTGCAAGAGAGTAATACATTGTTTAAAATTTTAAAGATAATTTCTTCCAAACTTTATTACATGTACTGCTACATTAAATACCGTTTTTATGTTTCTAATATTATTCAATAATTTACTACACACTGCAAGTCAAATGGCTGCTTACATAATAAAAACGCGAGTTTCTTCATTTCTTTCATTATCTTATCTCGAAATATTAGAGTTTCTTTAAATAACATGATTCGATCGAAGTATCTGATTCTTTTATGATTTTTATTAAACTTCTAAGATCTTTTACGAGGTATTTGATGCATATAAAATCGAAGAAAATTCAAACTTCATAAACATTCAATCTTTCTCGTAACAGAGATAAAATTTTATCTAGACATAATTCTTTACAATAGTTTTTAATGAATGTTGCAATATAAGAATACATACCTCTTCGTGCACTTTATATTTTAAATATCAAACGAGCGTAGTATGTACGTAGTATGTACGAAGAAATGTTGCGATCGCCTGCAGAATTCGGAAACGATCACAATGTTCTCAACCGACATAGGGGTTGATAGTGAGAGTGAAACAATAGTTCATGAACGACCCATGAGATGTCCCATCATACAACGGACATTCAAATTCGCTAGCCCCAGTATCTGTTTATTTATATCAAATTTAAACGTATGATCGAGCTCCCCGGAATATTCCTCGCCATTCCTCTGAATCGCATCGGTTTACTGACCAAGAGACTTGTATTTTGAACAAATTGTTGACTAGTTTGGCATTGCTGAAGAACGGCAACTGGTAGAGATGCATCTCTGTTTGGTAGAGAGATAGTGATACAAACTCGTCCGCGCACGTGTAGCATGATCCTAGCACGTGAATGATACGGCCACGTGACACTTTAGGAACCACTGGGGGAGCATGTTAAAATTAGCACACATGTTGTCGCGATCGTGCGATTCTTCGATCATATGGCATGTTGTTTATTTAGACCCCATAACGGCCATCTTGCTAGCCCGCAGGCAGCGCTTGCGTGCTTTTCCTTGTAAGGGATGAGGGTGGGTGTTAGTTCCCGCGGGATATCCCGCCAAGGGTGAACGATCTGCGGTTGCTGAACGGAGGGCAAGGAGTACGTGGCTCCACTCTCAGTGGAAAAGCTCAAGCTTTGTGGCGGCGGGATTCAGCCGCGCGAAAAGGGAACTTTCGAGATGACTGCCGATCCGGGTTACAGCGGGGTTGAAACAAGGGTAACGAGGCACAACGTTAGCGTAAGCGTTGCCGAGGCAGGTAAACGATCGTTACCTGCCGTCCTCGATAAAGAACAGACTTTATGGTCTGTTTTACCGTACGTGTAGTGTGCCGTGAAAACGTCCCTCTGTTTGTTACTTGCAGTCGATTGCAGAAAGTCGTGCTATGTCGATGTGAATAACAGCGCGAGAACAATCGAGGAACAACTCGAGGAAAAATTTGTCTCAAAAATTGTCTGCCTGCGAAAACTATTATGAACAAAACAGTGACTCGAGTGAGTAAGACGATCATTCTCGTTCAAGTAAATATCGATTTAATTTCACAGATGATTAATATAATAAGAATTATGTTCGCCGGACGAAGGCGAGCCGCTTAGTGAAATTTAACGCTGTATTGACACATGATTTGTTTCATTTGCTTGTATTCATTTATATGCACGTATACCGCTAATTATCTGACCGATTTCTTTGGAAATTTCACACGTTTAAATTTCCATCTTTCTACAGTATTAAGTACTTCTCGGACAGGAATAAAAAAGAAAGCTACTAGAAATCTTTTCAAAGTAAATTTTAACGTTTAAAGAAGAGAGAGAGAGAGAGAGAATATTCTGGGATTAAATTAAATAAAAAATGAAATTAAAACACTTCATTGCTACCTACATACAACGTGAAAACAGTTAGAAATAGAAATTTCGTTTAACAAATTTAAATGCGAAAGCTTGAATTTTCTTCCATTATTGCACTTGATCTTTGAAATACTCGGTTTTTTCGTTATTGCAAACTATTTTCTCGCATTTTTCCTCTGCATTATTACAGATTACAAATAGATACCTCTAAAATAGCTCGAAGTCGATGGTCGTCAACAGCATTGATAATTTCTGTGCGCATTAGTCTACCACTTTCTTGAAGCACCTCTATGTCATCCAGAGAGTCCACAATTTCGGCTACAGCGCCTGTAACATAAGAAAGTGTGAAATATTGTCTTTATGAAATATCTCATTAATACGTTAAGACCCTTTACGATCGTATCGTTTCAGTTTTAATCTGCTTAATCATTTACCGTGATGAAAAGACAATGGTGCCTAATACTTAATCAAATACATGAGAGATAGTCGTGCGATATTGAAACACTAAACTCGAAGCACCTGAACGACACATTGGCCTAGATCATGTTATCGTCACTTTGATCAATATGGAAATATCGTGAGCTATTGGTTGCATGTACAATGCCTATGAATATTCCGTGAAAAGTGAAAGGCGACCTTAATGAAATTTCGGTTGTATCACATTTATCGCTTGGATTTTCTTTTTTCATCAACGCTAACAATGTCTTTAATAATAACAAAGATACAATTTAAAATCCAATCCAACCATATAAAATTCGCGTTTGTCCTTTTCCGCGAATTAAATGCTTTTCACCGACGTGACATATATACGTTGAAAGAAAAGCAATTTCATCCTCATCGCATTTTGCCAACGGCCCGAGTCTATCCGATTAAATTCCAAGGGCGCTCGTCTTCTCCACGCACCTGTAGTTGTCACCTCGTCGTCCCCGACGTCGGAGAAATTGTCGCCATTAGCCTCTGAATATGGGGCGTGCCATTTCGACGAGGAGACGGCTGCTTTCACGGCATCCTTCAATTTTCGCCTTGCATTGAATTTCTTAAGCTCTTCTATGGTCTCGCCTAAGTGTATACGGGCTGCACCCTTATCGCGATCCTGCAAATTAAGATCCGTTCATTCGCTACCAAGAATACTGCAATCAACAATGTTGTCGCTCACACTGAACTATATTTGCAAGATTTAATTGTAGAAACTATTCGATGTTCATAATAGTCACCGACGACGTTCGATTGTTTGCTGTAGAGAAAATTCCGAAGAAAAGAAGCAGCGTTGTCGTCGAATAATATATAATTGAAATATTCTTCGTCGCCTGACGATGTCGGCGCGCATCGTTTTCTCTCTCTCTCTCTCTCTCTCTCTCTCTCTCTCTCTCTCTCTCTCTCTCTCTCTCTCTCTCTCTCTCTCTCTCTCTCTCTCTCTCTCTCTCTCTCTCTTTCTCTCGTGGCGAGAGGAGAAAAGGTCGATCGTGCATGCTTCCACCGAGTCCTCCGGGGTTCGACGAACGTGCAGCCGTGTAAAAAAGCTCTAAGCAGTACAGCAGCACAGGAGAGGCATACGCGACTACAGTTATTTTCATTAACCGCCGGTGCCTTGCTCCTACTACAACGATCGATAGCCCAGTTGCACGTGTGCGTTGCATCGAAGAAGTATGGGGGTTGACTCCGCGAGTGTTGCTACCTTAGGTCACTGGCTAACTGTTTTGCACCACATAGGTAACATCCTCGCACCATATGGTGTGCGCGTGCGCACGCACATTCATCGGACATAATAACGGCGAACCAGGCCACGTATACATATATATACACGGCGTAATTATAAAATAAATTCCCGATGTATACTATCACTGGCGATCGAACGGAAGCGCGCGGCCGTTACATCGATTATATTCCTATCAGGAGTTGCCAGCGTAACGTGAAGGAACGCCGTCACCAAGGAACGCCCACACGACGAAGATTATTATACAGAGCTCGGACATGGAATTTCTCTCACCCTTTCCCCTCAATCTCTCTCCCTCTCCCTCTTCCTCTCTCTCTCTCTCTCTCTCTTTCCCTCCCTCCCTCCCTCCCTCCCACCCACTCCCCCCCCTCTCTCTCTCTCTCTCTCTCTCTCTCCCACCGTGTACCGGCCAGCGTATGCAGATGATAAGGGCGCCGCAGGTCGCGCCGCTTTACTTACTCTAAGCCACTTGTGGTTGAGAACCTCCTGGATGGTGATCCTATGATTTACGTCGGTCGTGAGCATTCTCTGTATGAGGTCTTTCGCCGGCTCGCTAATGGAATCCCAGAGTGGCGTCTCCATCTGCGAATTCAATTAAATCGGAATTACTAGTCGCGGGGTGCGCGATTTCGGCGAGCGCGGCGAGCGAGCGAGCAAGCGGTCGAAATCGCGCAGCGAGCGTTATTAAGGGACTCTTTTTCATAACGTGCTCATCTGCGCGGATTAATCTGCGCTAGGAAGCGGTCGTTGACTACGTGAGACAGAATCGTTACCTGCACCCGCCCTCGGCAGATTGCTTCTCGTAGTCTGTCCCGAGAACCGACGAATGGAAGTGTACCGGTTAGCAGAACATGTAGCAGCACTCCGGCTGACCAGACGTCACCAGGTTTCCCATATTGTCGTCGTTGAATCACTTCCGGTGCCATGAAGTGCGGACATCCGACACGACCTGCGCGAGTACCAAGAGTATCGGTGAGCGAAAGGTGACGAAGGTAGCGATAGCGACCAGCGGATTGGAAGCGAGGCGTGAGGAGTGATTGCTCGGAAACTTCGCAGTCGATCGTAACGCGGCAAAACGGTACACCGAGTTGCTGCTCGCGACGCGAGCAAGCGAGCGAACGAGCGGACGAACGAGCAACGAGCCCGTGAAATTGTCATGAATCTGTCGAAATCTGAGACATCCCGTCGTACTCGAATTCTCTCGCCGGAATTCTCCTGCACGGAAATTCTCTGATGATGTGTATGCACGCGTGGCCAATAATCGGCGGCTCTTTCTCTATCCGAAAATCGATCTCGCCCGTCGTCTCGCGCGACGAGTAGAATTCGGGCCGTGCTTCTATTTGTCGTGGTCGTGGTCGGATCGACTGGACGTATCAAGTGTAATTAATGACAAAGGTATTAACGTGTCAAACGCAAAGGCTACTGAGGCATTCCCTGAGAGAAGAACAGAAAAAAGAAAGAAGAAAGACAAAAAGGAAACAGATACATTCGTCACAAAGTATATAGCTCCGAGCCTCCGAGCACGATATAGATATATATATATATGGACGCAAATGTCTTTCACGGATGATAACCAACGTGCTCAACTTGCTTACTCTTTCAACAACCTATATTTATTAAGAATCGGTAAATGACACAGAAAGCGGCACAAGAGGGAATGTAGGTCACTGCACGTCGAAGAGTGTACATGGGAAAAGATGAGATGATCAAGGCTGTAAAGCAAAGACGACATAATCGCGATCGAATACACCGTTAAACGTTAGAAAAATTATCGTCTAATTGTTGTGTAATCATACTCTGTACGTATGTAAAAAATGTAGGATCACACGATGCATTATGTGCGCGTAGACATGATTATGTTAATTAGGCTGTTACGTGATAAAACGTGGAGAGAATTCCATTCCGAAATATAATTAAATATATGCATGTAATAAAAGTAAACATCCAATTTAAAACATTTAGTCATATATGATCTACTAAATTACGTATACTATATGATCTACTATGTATAATTGTGTTATTCTATCTATTATATATGATAGATCTTTAATTATAATTTAAGTTAATATTTAAGTTTTCTGCTTATATATGAAATAATAAATATCGCTAGTACATATTGTGCGAATGCATACACTTCTATATATTTATATATTTCACTATATAGGGGAAAAGGTATTTTCACAATTCCATTCGTAAAACTGACGAAATATATAAAGTAATTAAGATATACAAGAGAAATAAGCTTTCCACTTTCATTTTTAATAGTGATTTAGCTTCCGCAATATAGTAAGTTAAAGAAATTTAGAATGACTAATAGCGAATGTAAATTAACTTTCGAGTAAAAAGAACCAATTTCTCACCGTATTCATTGTTCTGCCGTAGTTTCCTCTAATTAAAAAATATACGTATATATATATATGTTTGATAACAGATTTTAGAAAACATCGTTTAACTTTATCTACAAAGTGTATATAAAAACGTAAAAAAAGAAAAAACAACGCGCGGGATAGCAGTTTTTAGTCAAGTACCAAACAAAAGGTAATATGACACTGGTGCAGAGAGGAAAATCGATGCAGTTATTTATGCGAGATGAATGCGACGAATAAAACCAAGCTTGATATTTTGGAAAGACAGAAAGGCAATATATATTTAACAAAAAAAAAAAAAAGAAAAAAAGGAAGAAAAAAGAATAAAAAAAGAAAGAAAAGAGAAACTTTGATGGTGCTATAAACAGATATCAAGCTACAGTTACATTTAGAAACGGAAGATTCCATGCGAAATTTATCGAGCATGCAGGGGATGCCAGAATGTAAATTCAATGAACAATACATTTTAAAGAACCATTTTGTAGAACCAACACGTTAATAAGAGTCATGGGCAAAGACATTTCAACTTCGTATCGTTCTCGTCGTTTGCTGCGTAATTATCTCGTGTAACTTTAATTAGACGCTTTTCACTCAAAATAATTAGTTGTGCAAACAAAATGACGAGGTAATAACACGCATCTTACGTATTGAAATATATTTTAAATATATTTGGAATGTGATACATGCGAGAGAGAGAGAGCGGCTTAAAAAATTTCCGAGATGCACGGAGAAAAAATTCATTTCGAGTGAAACGCACTACACACGAGCGTATACGCAATTTCGTCTATTTACAGAGACGCAGGGTGTTGAAATAAAAATATTAATCGCGCGCGCGATACAAGCGTCGCGATAACAAAAAAAGCCGGAAAAACACCCGTTTTATAAAAAAAATCTCAACTTCTTATATCTATAAACTGTTCTTGCCAACGCAACGGCGGTTGGCAGTCGGACGATTTATTCGGTGGCCGACCTCTTGTCGTAATGCACTTTTCCGAATTTGTCGCGCGAGTTACCGCCGTAACTTATAACACAACGTTACCATAAATTCAGTTCTAGTAGAACCGTTGTCGGTGGAAATACAGTGCCGTGCCGCACTGTGTGCTTTGATAAATAAACAAATTGTAGGATAAATCCTCTCGTAAAATACGTCTCGTCGAAATTTCACGTCTGTAATATTCAAAATAAAATCGCGCTCGGCACGTGATAAGTAAGATGCGCATTGAGTTCTAATCAAAATTAAAGCGAACAAAGATCAGGCTTTTGCGCAATATCGCGGTCGGAGTGTTGTATTTCCCGCATAGTCACGCGATGCGTAGCAACTGTGCGGTAAGATGTGCACACCTGTCACTCCGGATTATCGAGTTTCGTAAGCAAACTGAAGAGATCGCTAAGGCGGTGCTGTTCACAATGCAAGTTCTTTATCAAAGAGCACCACACAGATACGACTATTCCACAGTAAATTGCTTGTCATGACGGCGCGAAGAACGTTTGTAAAAAATGCCCACTCGAGATCGTGCGAAATTGTGTCGTAGTCATCGTGACAGGTGATTTGCATTTGTATGATACGTATATTACTCGAAGTCCAGGCGGGATGATCGTGATGAAATTTCAAGTGTATTTCAATTAAGAGTCGCACTATGTTCGAGAGAGGGCTGTTTGGCGCGTTAATTCGCGGCAACCCGGATCGATGGAATTGCTACGGTTCTACCGAGTTTGTCTTTCTCATTCTGGACGCATTTCGCGGGAACTCGCGACAAAGTAGTCTTTCCTGACGCGCGACGACCACTTCAATTTATCATCGATAAGTGATGAAAGACAAATACAAAGCGGCATACAAACAGACAGACACACACGTATACACACACTCACGCACACGCACAGGCTAGTCTACCGCTACGAACAATGACGACATAGACAGGCCCAAATAACGCGCGGGCAATTAGTCCACGAAATCAGCCTCCAAACCAGATAAACCGATTGAAGGGTTAGTTACGTGTAACTGAAATGCAACGTTCGAAGCACGAAAGAATCGCGCGCGCGCGAGCGCGCATGTACGATGATCGTATTGTTTTCGACAGTACAGATATCTCGGTGCGTCTCGTTAATGACATGAAGATTAATTCAAATGCAAAATACGAGTGACGTATGTTGATTATGATATCGAGCAAACGTTGTTTGTTATGCAAACTTAGAACGACCAATTTGGGACAATGTAAAGTCGTATAATTTATTTCAGTATGCCGTGAAATGGAATAAAAACACGATCACAATTTTTAATATTCGCTGTCTTGCTATATAAATCAGTATTTTTCCCCTTTGTAATTCGTTGCCCATCGCGCTTCGGACGTGCGGATATATCATGGAATGATGATGTATATGTTATTCACAATAGACGAATTAGGCCACCAGCCGAAATATATAGCGACGACGTGTTGTGGATTCAATCGATTCGGTGAATGAGCGAAGACAGCGAATAGAACGCATTGTGGATATCCACAAAGTAAATTCGGCATTTTGTTGGCGTTCGATTGTTGCGAATAACATATCTCCGCGCTCGATTTTATATTTTCCCTACTCTTTTCACGCGAGAGAAGTAATGACCGATCGATACTCCACCGTCGGAGATCCGATTGATCACGAATAATGATCACTGGTTTTCAGCGGACGCGTAAAAACTGGAAGCTGCCAAGGCGAGCTTTTTGATGGATCATAAATAATGCGTTTTTATTGAAAACCTCACCTTCGTCGTCATGCGGAAGCGCGACGTACATTCGTCCGTTCGTACATACGTACGTATACATATATGGGTCGCGCACCGCCACTTTCACCTCGATGTCGATGAAACAAAGTAAAAGTTAACGACGTGCCGTAACGAACCCTTCAATTCTGTCAGAAACCAAAAAAAAAAAGAGAACTTATCCCAATCCTACAATGATGAAGCAGAGCTTGTGTCATTCGCGCGTTGCAAAACCAGACACGCGGACGACGAGGATGGAGCGAGGGGAGGAGATGGGAATATACATACGGAGAGAAGAGGAAGGAGTCGCTTTCTCACTCGCTTCCTCTTGAAGGCACAACGAATATGTATATATCAAAATCTGTGTTACACTACGCGACCTGCACAACGATATTACAAGGGATAACGCTATCGCACGTAGGTCAAGTAGAGTGTCTATGCAGACACTATGCGCTCTCAACTAACATTGACTGTACCACGCGGGGGTAGAACTTGGACTGTGAGATCTCAAATGAGAGAGAGAGAGAGAGAGAGAGAGAGAAGAGAGAGAGAGAGAGAGAGAGAGAGAGAAGAGAGAGAGAGAGAGAGAGAAGAGAGAGAGAGAAGAGAGAGAGAAGAGAGAGAGAGAGAAGAGAGAGAGAGAGAGAAGAGAGAAGAGAGAGAGAGAAGAGAGAGAGAAAAGAGAGAGAGAGAGAGAGAGAGAGAGAGTAAGCCCGAGATGAGAGTTCGGCCGATCCATCTGATAACGATCGAGATACGCCATTGTGCGTTCCTGTGCGCGCGCTTTGCTCGCGGCAACGAACGAATTATTATTTCACTGATGTGAAAGACTCGAAAACTCACGTCGTGAGTTCCCCCCCGCGCCCATCCGCATACTGGATGGGCTACGTAACCTGATCTGATCGCGCGCGCTCACGTTAACGAGCGACGTGACGGGATCGGTTTAGAAGGAAAAGAAAAAAGATAACAAAAAGAAGAGAGATACAGAATTGGAACGTGCGATTTTCCGGACTCTTGTCGACAAACACGCTCATCTAGCACCGTAATATTTCTTATCCTCGATTGCCTCTCACGATACAGGGCGGATTACATGGAACACCCTATATATACACGCGTGGTCTTGCGCGGTTGATGGAAAACGGCTCTCAATAGTACTTTACGATCAGCGATGTGTAAAGAGCACGGCGCTACACACTCGAGGACGCGCGAAGGGGTGTCCCCCTTTTAAGCAGGCGCGATAATTTCTCGCTTCTACCCCCGATCGTGGTATGCCGGTCGTTACGTAAATGTGTGGCAGGCATGTGGATACCGATATTGTCCTCCGTGTCGCTCACGAGCGAATCCTCGGCGTCGGTCAGGTCCTCAAAAGGGAAATTGCAGCTCGGGGAGATCAGCCCTATCGAAAGAACACACAGAGAGAAAGGAGAAGGATTGTTACCGTCACGTTAATTTCGCGCAGTCGCGCGTCGACGCTGACGCTTCATGGACGATAAGACGCTCATTGTCGTCATCGCCGTTACTCGTAGAGGAAGACAAACCTGTGGCTGTTGTCGGGGATGTCCTTGTTCTTATCAGAAAATCGAACGTCGCGAGATCGAGCGACTTGTTTTCCCTACGTTCTTTTCTTTTCGAATTCATCTTTTGTGTGCGACTCGTTCTCCCCCTCTCTCTTTCTGATGGTATGTGTGCGTCTCTATACTGGGTATGTAAGACGTCGACGGCTCTGTTTGGCGCTCCGCCAACGTATGTACGCGTATTTCACTTGTTGTATCGTATCGGAAAGTAGTATAATTTGCGTATAAACCTGTGTCAGTGCTATATAAAAAAGCCTGTCGGACTTCAGCTTGCTTTATTTCGTTCGTTTCGTAATTTTACGCGGGCTTACAATTAGCGCAGCCGTGGCAGTCACGTGTGCGAAGACACGTGACGCGTTTTCAAGAAACCACGGTTAACCGCTTGCATTTCCGCTAAAATGAGCTTTCATACGACGATGCGCGTCCGGCGTATTGGAAAGAAAATCGTACTGTAAAATAATTTCCGCGAGCGATAATAATACGATCAGAATCGTTACGCCACATGTGGGTAAACACGTAATAGCACAAAAACGCTTTTGTTTTCACGCTTCAACAAATAATGGAAAAGGGGATGTACACGGAAAACGCGAAACCGCGTTTTTTTAGTCACACGTTTGTACACATTTATTATCGAAGAATCACTTCTCTAAATCGACATATTAGTGAATGAATCTAATGATAAGAATATTATATATAGCACGAGGGTGACAATATATCCGATCAATGAATTAGCCAAATCAAAATAAACATCCGAACGCGTAAAGCAAGCAAGCAAGCAGTGGCAGCTTCTAGAGTACAGTGACGTGAATATAGAGGAGAGAGTATACACGGAACAGGTTAAGATGTAACATAATACAAAATGTGTGAATGTGAAAAGTGTGTATATGTGTTATAGATAGAGAGATATATATATATATATATATATATATGGCGTGAGATGAGACAAGGCTCCTGCGGAAGTGATGATTAAAGGTTAGATCAGGCTTACCCTCGCTGTCGGCCTTCAAGTAGAGCTGCCCCTTTGGGCTCAGACACTGCCGATACTCGGTCGTGTAACATTCTGTATCCATTGAAACCAAATTTCAGGTTATCAGTGTACGTTGATCAGACACGGCGCGTTTGTCCTCGCGTTGTCTCGTCAGCTAATTGACGCGTGTCATCCGCGAGAAAACCGTTCGCGGCGGTAAATCAGCGTGCGATCGACGCTCTCTCACCGGCTCTTATTTAGTCCGGTTGTAATATGACGCGTATGTATCCCGCGCGAATGCCGAAAGGAATCCTCGACGTATAAGGGTATGCGATGAGGAAACTTTAGAGAAATGCAGCGGAAAAAACAACGTTTGAACAATTTGCCACTTAACCACGGATTAAACCGCGTTACCGAAAACTCTTTATCTGAAGGTTCTAAGAATGATCTAAACCCGATAGCAGAGCGGAAGCCAATTCGATCGTAAAACTTGCATATGAAAAATCTCGCGTTCCAGTTTACGAGACAGTTTCCCAGTGTCGATGCCGGGCCTGTACTTGATAGGGCGTTATTCTACTCTCAGAATGCCAAATTAGTTTGAAATTGAGAAGAGCAATGGCGGGAGCCGAAGTGGAGTCAGAGGAGATTAATATCTGACTCGGTATAACAGCGGTAACGTCTTAGCGGGACGAAGAGGCAATTAGTCCTAGCAGGTAAAAGTTTTTATCGCCATTAAATTCTAATACCGATTGGCGGGAACTTTTGTCGTAGCGCACGATTCGCGCGCACCAGGGTGTAGCTGTTCGTAGTGATCGTTATTGTGTATTGTATTCTCATGGTGATATCTATGGTGTAATTAAGAAGTTTGTTTTGTTGGGAGTTCACCTATACGATCGCACTATCGTTATTCGTATTCCATCTTTCAATTTGCGCACATTATACCCTTATGAGCGAGCTTTCGTCCTCGACCGATTATTATTAACCGTATCAAATGAATAGAACCGAAGAGGTAAATGAGATCGACCGATAACGTGCGTTTTATCAACAGCTCTTAACGGCGATGTGCTGCAAACGCGAAACTCGTCTCTCGTGTCTCGTTTTGATATCAATAAAAATAATTATTAATATTGAATCAATACAAGTGACAAGTAATTATGCGATATAATGAACAGATTTGCTTCGTGACGGAAGGCGCTGCTTTAATATCGCATGGAAACGAGCGGAATCGATCGATTTTGAAAACGCGCGGCGGGGGCACGCGGTCGCGCTAGTCGCGCGAGGGGAATTCAAAATTAGTATAGAATGTAGAGATAGAACAAACGGTCGATAGAACTAGAACGGTATATATCTACAAGTGTTGCTAACAACAAGAGCCATCTACTTACGGTGTAACCATGCGATATCGAGGCAGCGAAAGATCGTAAAAGAAAGGCACAGACACCAATCGATTGAGGCTGATCAGAAAAGAGAGCATCACGGTTGTCATAGGAAAGAAATCCGATAAAAGCCGTTGCATTCTGCACATCGAACACCGAGAAATTTCGAATGTGATTCGCCAATCATCGACCAAGCCAGCCAATAATCGCAGAGTAGGGCATTCAAAAGAGAGACGATACAAAAACACCGAGTGTCTTTGAAGTGACGCTTGATGAACAGGAAACCATCGTATCGGTATTTGTAAAAAAAAAAAAAAAACGAAGAGAGAGAGAAAAGGAAAATACAGAAAAAAGATAAAAATCTGAATTGCAAATTCTGAGGAGGCAATATTCAATGCGCGCTTTCAGGGGAGCTTCTCGCCCGCGTCCGATAATATCACCGTCAGCCACCGTTTAGCGCTCTCCATCGTAAAGGTTATTGTAGTCGTATCTTCACCGCAGGTGATATCGCATGTCGTAATATCCGGGAAAAAAATCTTTAACCAAGCTGTACACACGCGCAAGTTGCGCGAGAGGCACATTTTGCAAGAGTTTAATCATCTTTATCCGCCGTTGAGCATGTCGGCGCACCTTCGATAATAATTCCGTTATCCCAGCGAACGCGTTCACCCTCACCCTTCTTCTCACACTGAATATTTTACGGTTTCCTTCCCTCTTTCAATATGTGACGAGGAGATCATGCGGCTAAATAACATTCGTTAATCTCGTTGTCATAGTTAATACGGCTGAATGTCAACAGGTCGACGGATCTCGCGAGATGTTAACAATTTAACATTAACTTCTTCGGATATATAGCATATATATAGCATATATAGCGATGATTATATAATTAAAGAAAATATGTATTACAGGACTCGTTATTTGAAAAAGTACATTGTGCGTTTTCAGAAAACGATTTGCTTTCTCAGACTTTCGGAAAAGTTGATATAATCCACTGTGTAAAATGGATTAATCGTACACACACTGTTTATAAATAAAGTAAATTCTTTCGAGATGTACACGAGCATTTTACACATAATAACCTCGCTCTATTTGAAGTGGAAATATCAAAAGCCGCGCACGTCTACATTTGATTTTCTTTTAATATTTCCAATTGAACGGTTCTCTTCGGTTTGTCGAAATCGATCCCCAGCGTGAATATAACAAGTTATTAATAATTTTGTAAATCGTTCCGCGAATAATTAGAACAGATAGCTGGCGTGTTCAACGCTAAATCGTTATGCGCGTGAAGTCTTACATATCACACTTACGGTCGATGAATAATTTAGCTCACGAAATTCGGTTTATCTGCATTCAAACAAACTTAATTAACGTTTCAAAGGAGCTTGAGTAATTAAAGTGCAGTTGAACTTGAAATTAATGTGCAGTTTACTGTACGAATGTATGATTTATCGTTGTTTCGTGTTGGTCGATGAATAACCTTGACGATAGACGTCTGTGAGCATTAAATAGTGCCTCTCAGGTGGTTTGCAGGTAGAACAAGCGTATAATTACGCGTAAGTATACTTCACGTTAATGTTTTGCTATATATAAAACACTCGTCGGTGTCGGCGCTAGCGCAGCATATATTCTTGATCGATTTTACTTTCAAATTTATCCATTTTCACGAAACATCACGATTTTTATGGCATTTAAATATACTTGTATTACTGACAGACTCCAACGTTATAAACAAGATGTTACTTTGCCATAAAATAGAGAAGAACAGGATGTCGCATTTTTACAGACGCTATAAATTATGAGAAAATGCTGTTTCGCATATTTTACTTAATATTTTTCTCACTTCTTATTCCGCTGTCCATAATAGTCCCGTTCTTACTCAATTTATGCGTCTTCTAGCGCCGACTCCACTTAAAAATATTATGAAAAATTTACTTAATGCTACCGCGCTAAAAGCAGCACGACGTCAGCTCTTATGAACTGTGTCACGGCTGAAAGTATAGTGTAGCTCGGGGAGAAAATTTGCATGGTCCTTTAAAAATAAAAATTTTCCTTTTTGATACTTCAATGATTTTATACCGTAACTGACGTTTATTCTTTTTCTTTTCTTTCAAGCGGGCTTATCACCGTAACTCCACAGATACAGCTGATTCAATATATTGTCTCGTTTCGAACGTCATATTTTTTTAACTGACGATTATCAGTTTCAAGCAAACCATTTAAAAATGAAGAAGTAAAACTCGCCATGTTATTTTGCACTGTTATTTTGCAAAAACGTGCGGTTGCCTTCTTTCGATTATACCAATATTGGATCAAATGTAATATATACACATACAAATGTAATATATACGTTTCTCACGTTACTTCCATTGATAAGAAAATTTCATTGAAACAGGTAACATTCAAGGACTTCTCAACTGCCCGTAAAAGACCATTCGATGTAAGTAATAGACCTGATTACATAGAAAAGAGGGAAAAACTCAAATACAATTGGTATTTTCAGGCTTCTTCAGTCCGATTAAAATGCGCGTAATAACTACGGTACATTTAAAAAGTACAAATAAAAATGTACATAAGAAATATAAGAAAAAGGAAATAAAATATGCAATAAAAAGAAACAGCGACAAATCTCTCTGATACAAATTTGATAACATTCCTAACGAAGCCATACCATAATCTCTGTTCGCTGTTTCGGTGTCCCAACATAAAATATCACAGTGTTGAAATTTTTTCCACAAGTTGCATTCTGATTCCTCCGTGAAAAATATTTCCTCGACACAAAGACAAGTAATCGAATTAATGTAACCTTCCATCAGCATCGCAAAATTTATATTTTTGATCGAACGATAAAATTTTACAGATCCGTGCACAACCGTGGTCATTCCCATGTCTCCACCATTATTCAACTTATAGACTCATCTTTATATAACCATAGTTATGTCACTCAGAACCACCGAGTTGAAAGAGATCATTAATAATCACTGAGACGACCGTTCTCCCCGAGCTGACATCGCGCTGCTTCCGACATGATTCTCTATGCATAATGCTACGTAAAATAGACCGCGGAAAGAAAACGTAAATGAATTAGGAACAGGTATGAACGTACCAACGCCATTAGACTGCGACGTCGGGAGTTGCACGGCGACGCCGAAGCCGCGCAGCTTCACCGGGGCGGAATTTTCCTTGCCAGCTAGAAGGGCGCACTGCGGTTTCAGGTCACGATGAATAATGTCGTTCTCGTGGCAGTAACGCAACGCTTCGAGGATCTGTCGCATGTAGTGACTGTAAAAGAAAGCGCAGTTTTCTTAGGCGTCGCTGCTTGCACCTGCACGTCACGGCTGGTACGCCCTTAGCCCGAAACAATGGGGAAAGGCAGTACGAGCCGGGGAAGCATTCGCGGTGACAAAGAGTGAGTTCTTTCCGAGATTTTAAATAGAGCGATTAAAGTACGCCTCGTTACGTCAGGGAATGATTTTTCGCCACAAAGTCCCTCAGAAGCTCCGGCGATCTCTCCCTCGCGGGAGGCAAGAGTCGCGGGACGACGAACAATGACAATACGAATCTAAATTACAGATTAGATCGCGAAAGTTCGTCACGCAAAAAGAGCAAAATAGCAATATCGTGTAACGTTACTTTCTCGATCGCGCGCGAGAGACCGTTTCGAAGGAAGAGACAGTTCTTATATTACATAAATTTAATCAAAGGTCCACACGATCTCTCCCAACTCTTTCGTGAAAAAGATATATTTTAGCAGCGACGCGAGATATATTTTAGATGCTTCCCGTTGCGCGGTCAATTATGATGTAAAACCTTTCGCTGAAGTTAACTTTTAACCTTTGCATGTATGTACTTCGCTCTTGTGAGTTGCAGTCTGACGAAAAGAGAAGTCTCGAGAGAACACGGTACAACCAAAAGTACAAACAGAAGATGATGAAGAAACATACCGTGTACCACATGGACAAACAAATAATACAGTTCTTTTTTTACTGTACTCACGATACGCTTTTGCCGTATCAATCAAAGCAAACTTTGATACGATCCCGCACGACATACACAGCGACTGCATAACGTATTTGGCATGTGATATTAGCCAGAAAATATCTTTGATACTGGGAAACGGGACATTGATCGCGCAAAAAGAAAGGGACGTTAAAAGGGAAGAAAAGGAACGTCCTAGAAGTTGTGTCTCAGTGATGCATTTATTAATGCTGTAAATATACGAGTATTTAAACGCACAGGTCGTACAGCTCGCGATGCATATTCGATTCGAATATTTTAATATTTGAGCATACTTTGCACGCCTTCCGCGTAACATCAAAGATATAACTGTACATTTGAGACCAATTTTAATAGGATTCTTCCGGGATGAAAAATACCGGTAGTTCAAGCATGACATAAACGAATATAGCGAATCTAATAGATCGCAGTCAAGGATTTATTGAGACAGGGATTTATTGCAACCCAGGGATACCTCTCCGAGAGAATCCGTTTGCATTATATCGAAGTGTAACATACAGACGGTAATCACATTTCAGTGCAAGCTCCTAATAGATGCAGACAGGCGAGCACTCGCGCGCGCGCGCGCGCACAGAACAAAGAACTCGGAAAGAGTGATTAATTTATCAGATTCGCCTCGTCTTGACATGTCTCGCTTAACGAAGCGTATAAATAAATTAGAATAATTTTCATTAAACACGAGTATTAACTGGATGAAGTACGAGATAGGGAATGACATTTTGCTTTCTAACACAATTTCTATCTTCCAAAGGATATTTTCCTATTATTAAAAAACATACACACATAGCATGCTAAATTTAGATAGGAAGAAGAGGGTTCTGGAAACGCTTATCGCAAAATAGCGCGTAATATTCCCTTAAGCGATGCTCGTGCAGCACGATGCCAGCATATCACGCTATACATATTCGTAAATGATGCTGGCCTTAACTTTAGGAGATAATGTTCGGATGGATGTACTGTCTGCGATGAATTCGCGATATTCGCAGTGTATTTGGTGGAAATAAAGAGGGAGGGAAGACGAAAGAGGAATAGGGTTGTGCAATGATACATGTAATGAATTTTCTTACCTAGCAACCGCTTCGCTGTATACGAATCCAGCAGTCGCTCGTCTCACAACCTCGAAGCATAAATCAGAGCCATCCATACTGAAAGAGAAGCACAGGGGAAGCGATATTAATATACTACTCTCTGCATTTTCCATGCCGGAATATTGCATGCGTCATAACAGTTTTGTAATCAAAAATAAATATATTTAGATAAATATGGCATAAAAATATCCACTGAACGGTGCAGAGGAATATTGCTTCTCGTGCATATTTTTGCATATTTCAGATGCACTGTAATATGTTTATTTCGTTAATTCTATCGATTTATTATTCGTATCGAATATGACCGAATATAAACCTGAAGTCTTTCATGCACGACCGATCAGCGGAAGATTATCGACAAAAAAAGGGCTTGCATTTGCCGTAACCAATAGTATAGCAATCGTATATTGACAACGATGAAATATTACTGCCGATAAGTATTTTCACGTAGCAAATGAAATAGTGTATTGTGAAACTAAAGGAAGTAGCAGGGTGCAGAATTTATTATTTAAAGTCTCGTTAAAAACACCTTGAGCCCCCTCGAGTCTATTAAAAACTGTGGCTATCTTATCCGATAGAGAGCGTGGATTATTTCAAGAGTATCTCGGATATGTGTATCCAATTATAGCGTGAACTAGTAGAACGTTATAATAGATAGCAAACAACCAAATGGAAAACGTGCCTTTCCCGAACAAAGATGGAGCCGTTAAGAAAATGTTGCGTATTTATTTTGCCGACTCTTTCATTTCCGATGTTCGCGACGCGACTCCCGCCCTGCGCGACATAACATCAACCATCAGCCCGAAGATAATAATCACGCCAGGAAGACGACAGAGTAAGCTTGTTGGCATATAAAAGACGAGACGTCCTTCGTTTCAAAAATCGCTCTTCTAAAAAAAAAACCGACTTAAAGTTCACGATTGACAGCGTGCAACTATGATAATCTATGCTGCATTTTCTGCAGCCTTAATCTTACAAGGCTTGAGATCGCCGCAGTACCAAGGTGTAAATAGAGTGGACAGGCATGATATGTAAACATGTTCGTTGTACAGATCGCTGCTGTCCAATGTTGTGCGTTAACATGTGAAATTACTAAAGATGCGATTTCTTGCCGAAATACAAAATATGTTTATTCTTCGCATACTTACTATTCGAACACCATGTATAACATGCCCTCGGAACTGTAGGTCTCCAGTAACTCCACGATATGAGGATGTTTCAACATATGGCATATGGTAGCTTCCCGTTTTAAATCTAAAACATGCGAAATGTGAATTTAATACAACAAATGGCTTTTCTACACATAAAACACATTTCGCACAGAGTGCAGATTTTAGCCACGAATTAACAAAACTATAATTCTTCCATTTACAGTAAGGAAGTTTTGTCTCGTTAAAAAATAAATTCAATGTAGTTACTGAAACATTGTTACTGTAACATTAAAAATTTTTTAAATTACGAAAATGCAAAAATAGTGCTCGATCGAATTCTACCATGAAAAGCTTATCTGCGAGTTAAGCCTGAGCTTTTAATGAAATACGAAACGTATATGTATATTACGTTAAAATAAATAATGAATTAATTACAGATTCTAATTACGAGTTATTTATCCAGAACGTAATTTATCCAGAAAATAAATATCATTAATATTTACCAACTACTCCACTTAACGCCTGAAATTTCAATATTGATTTAATATGTCGCATCTATCTTTCCAAAACGGAAAATTAACATCATTATAAATTATAGACACGTACACTCTAAGTCTTTATAGTCTCATGATTAAAAACTGGCAGCAAAAGCATTATTTGAACGAGATGAAACACTTTGAATGTTTTAAATCTATTCCGATTAAATGAAACTCTCGCTATTGTATCTGAAACGGGTATAGAAACTTCATTTCCCAGTTCGTTTTTACCAAAGACAATTTAGATACCGTATCTGCGTCGAGCTGCAATGGAATCTGTAGTCTCGAGCAAAACTACTGGATCCGGTTATAGTACGCGAGTGATCGTATTTTTCAGATATACTAAATGAAAAAAAAGGATTGTAAAAAGGTAATATCAGAAACTAATTATGTTAGTCACAAACGAGAACTCATATGTTTAAACGTATAATTATTTAATTATTCAAAGTAATTTCCAGTGTTTAATTATATTTTTACATAAGAGTTAATGTCCATTATCTTTTATCTAATTTTCTTTTATGTTTTCAAATTAATTAATAATAAAGTTATTGGTAAAATTTCAATATACATTAATAAATTTCAATAAATCAAACACGGGACGTCAAAATTCACCTCGCTGTTCCAACTATCCATAAATTCTTTAAGTAATTTAGATGGCAAAATATTAATTTCCTTGACGAAACTTTCGTCGCAAAATTGCATTGCGCTATTTTGCAGCTTGGTAATTAAATATCACTGTAATTGAATATCATATTAAAAATGAATTATTCAAGCAAATTTCATTTAAAATTATCTGAAGAAAATAAAGTTTTTCTTTCCCTTCTATTTACAGCTTAGTTCGGCAATGTATTCTTGATTAAAAGATTTAATTTGTTCAATAGAGTATCTCTTTCTCTTTCTCTACTTGAGAATGCGATAGTTCAAGATCTTTATCGGCTTTCTAATAAGACGTTCAAGCGTGCGCCTCGTTGTAGCAAAGAAGTGTTGAAAAACGCTGATTTATATAACATAAATTTTTGTTATAAATATGATAAGAGAGAGAAAGAGTGAGAGAGAGAGAGAGAGAGAGAGAGAGAGAGAGAGAGAGATCGTATAACAAATGCATTAGATATAAAGAAGGAAGAAAATGAGCAAAGAAACATCGTAATATCCTGACGTTTCTATCTGGCGAAACAAATGTCTCATCTCATGTATAGTTATAACCCGCCGCGAGGAGCGAAATATCAAACTTTGTCGGCATATGCTTCGCGCTATTCCCAAAGATCCCATATGGGATCTTGGTGACACACCTGCTTCGCTATTAACGACGTAATTCAGCCAGATATTTTCAGTATGGAAACGTGCGTCCTCTCATTTTATGTTATTCCGGTAATATAACGAGTTCGACGAGTATACGATGGATATTGTATAAAAAACAGTCTTCTCTCGTCGCGAAAAACGTGAGATTTTGCGAAATTGTTACAGTTATCACGAAAAATTCAGAGTGAATATCCGTTTACTAATTATCTATTCGCTAATGAGCTTACGTAGTACATTTAGCATCGTTTCGACATTTTCATGTTGTAGGTAGAAAACGAACGTTTCTCTTATTTCACGAAAAAAACGTGCGCTTTTAATACAGAAAACCGGTTTTTAAACAATGCTGGTCGTATATCGTCTCAGCGCGTCGGCTGATATGTTGGGTTAAACCCCCGAAAAATGTGCGCAGCGACAATGGTCAGCCTTTTCATTCAATTGCACAATGGTTCGCGCGCCGGTTCACGACTCGAATCCACGTTCCATCGGTCGTATAGTAAAACGTTGTAGTAAGCTGTCAAAGGATATAGAATAGGAGAATACATGCCTTCTTTCGAACACTCGATAAAAATTAATGGTCGACTATTTGCAAGAAAGCGATAGGAATTATGTTGTTTATCAATCTCGATGAGCCTTTTGTAATGAAACGGTTCAAAAAATGGAAATTTTTCTATATCTCTTCGTTTGGACGTTTAACGGAAAATTAAAACAGTTATTCAAAGCTGACTCAACATATCCAATTCAGTCTAAATATTATTAGAAGTTGTAAAATGCACAGAGAACAAAATATTTCAAACAAAAACGCAGAATACGAAATCCATTTCGTAATTATGTTATATTTTAAATTAAAGAAAAAATCAAAGCTATATATCACAAACTAAGGATTTAATTACAAATGTAAACAAATTTGAATCATTTTCTCGTTATATTTTGTACATTTAGAAGTATATACGTCACTCAGAATCAAATATATCGAATTAGCTTCGGCCAATTGCATTTCCACTTTTAAAGCGCAAGTGTGCACAAAGGAACATGCATTTTTCGAGTGCTTCATGTGCAACCTAACCAAAGCTCATCGAAATTGGAAAAAAACTGTTTCAGCCGTTAATTAGTGACGGATGTTGTCCCGTGCAACAACTGTAATGTTAGACTCACCCGCGGTGCTGAGACCAGGACTAGAAGTGAACTTTGCCACATCGACGATTTTTACGGCGAAAATCTGCCCGGTATGACGGTGAATGCATTTCCGAACGACGCTGAATGGACCCCTGCAACAATACGAGCGAGACGTCAACAATAATAATTATGTTCATGGCAGTTCCTCGAGCACGAATTGCATGCGTTGTCGGGATAACTCGCGTGAATCGTAAATACGAACGTGTCGACGAATGGATCAATGCGGGCACCCGATATCTCATAGCGTTAATGTTCAAGGGAAGAAAGCAATAAATCCTATCGGGAGAGCAAAGAACTTTTTTACATCTTTTAGCTTTTCTCGGATAAATGTTTCAAAGCTTTAGCGCCGTGCATATTTGAACGATTGTGCCAAAAACTTGTCCTCCTAAATAATTTGTCCTTTAATTAATTTTCGCTCGACGCGTGCATTTATTCGCGGAAAATAATTTCCAATCCTGCTAAAAATATAAAATATAAAATTTACACCTTATTGATTTCAATATACATCAACCAAAAGAAAAAAAAAAACCTTCAGTTATATAAAGAAATTATAAAAAAATTTTCGAGTTCTGATGTTAAATCTGATGTAAAAAAATGAATTAATATCTTAAGATATCTTTGACATCGTTTTATCGATCAAGGTCATGTCCTTCCAGTCACCTGACGCCATTTTTAAATGTCGCGTGCGCTGTGGCTCTTCACTTTTCCTACGCGTACATATATTAAATTTGACGCGTTACCTTTGCAGTCACGTCGTATACCCGCATGAAAATTTCATCGGGCTTCAATTAAAATAATAATATCGAAAGAGTACGTGTAAATGCATCAAATATCTTTACCGATGGCTCAATTGCCGGACATGGAGAATTTAAAATATCACGAGTGAATTCCTTTAGCCGAATATATCCTTAACTAAAAGAATTCACTTGAGATGTCTTCTTTCAGCTAAAGGAATTCACTTGAGATATCTTAAATTCTCCATTCAAGGTGTTTTCCAGCTGAAATATCTTAACTTCTCAATGTTTGATAAGTGAAAGAGCAACAGCATTATCTCAATGTTTGATAAGTGAAAGAGCAACAGCATTATCTGACGCATTGCGATAACAAGATGGCCTATAAAAATAGAGAACGATAGAAAAATCTCGGAGATAATTCTATGACAATTTTAGTATAAAAAGGACATCTCAATGCAAAAATTAACGAGCTTTTCTTTTGCCAAGTCTAGGATACGTAAGTTTTAAAATACACAGTGCTCTTTTTTTTGTTATAGATATATCGTTTCTAATAAAGAACTACTTCTTAAAAGCATGTATAACTATGTTACAAGACAATCATATACATTATGGTTATCTTTAGCCAGTATCACTAGGAGGCTTATATAGTATACAGATAGGTAAATATCGAGCAAAATGTCGATATCTCAAAAGAAGAGAAGATTCGACATTAATTTGTGGTTTAGAAATAGAAGGAGAACGAGAGACGACTCGTATATTTAGACTGTCTGTTCTCAAATTGTCTCCAAGTCAAGGACGGGAATTGACTGTTGGAATTTCCACTCATTAATAATTTCCATGAATAATATGCAACTAAAGCACGTTGAATGCACGATTCTGAAATGAACACGCGGCCTGTGTGCGTACGAGTAGGTCAGGTAATCAGTTGTGTACTTAAGGGTCGAATTCGGCGGTTTCGGTTATCCATCGAATGATAACCACGCGCGCATTCGTGGAATTCATGAAAACCCACAATGGAGAATTGTGTACGTATAGCTTCGAACGCAAGCATCTGCCCGTGCAGGTCGCACAGTAACTGGTACGTCATCACGTTGAAATTCCTACATGCGTTAAGGTTAATAAAGGATAAATCACGAACAAAGTTCTTTATCTCTTATCTGTAATGTCACGATAATGCTAACACGTTATTGTTTCGATGTGCTCTATCTTTTTCTATTTTATTATTAAAATACTTTCTATCGGGAATTCTTCAGAAATTGAAAATATATCGAGAAAACGTTAAAATTCTCTACGAGAGATACAGTATCATGCAAACATAGTCCGTTGTGTTCTTTTGACATATTTCCAACATAAGACAATAAATCAATACGATATGTAATGTGCAGTCTTTCAAAAATATGCTTGTATATTTCGTTCGACATGCACATGCACTGGCTGTCATTTCCAGTATATCGCGAACGAGTCACTAAATACATCCACTCTCGTTTTTCGTTGTTAAAAGCTCTCTTACAAGAGGCGGCCCTCGAGTGCCTTAAGGCCTTCATAAAGCGATTGGCACGACGACGTAATCCGCCTTTTATGAGAAGTTATTGACATCTCGTCAGTTTCCAGAGAGGGTCAAATACTACCGTGGCCTACATTCGAAACCGATTTCCCGCTTGGGAGAAAATATACACCCGAGTATCTTTTACTCTTCCATTCGGACAAATGCAGTGTGAGTGCATTTGCACGCGCCCACGCGTGCGCGCGGTATATATGAATGTTCTTAAATTTTTCAGTCGATTTTCAGCGTAGCGCGCGATCGAACGGCAGATCTCTGTTGCAAATGACAGATCAAGACTTATCGATCTGCAGAATTCCCTGCGTGTTTCTCTACGTGATTAAATATCATTCTGTGTTGATATAACGTATATGAATAGCATTTCTTTTTATAGAACGCACGTGGGTACCGATAGCGCACACGTTCTCACCGTCGTCTCAGATGCGTATTTAACCTCTCGGCCATTGTAAATTGAACCTCGAATCCGTTGCAATTGAACTTTGCTCGCCATTCAGTGCCAGTTAGGTCGAAGACTCCCGGAGAATATCGCGGGTACATACGCTCGCGTTTCATATAGAATTCCGCCCTTCCCTCCACCCCCTTCCGAAAACGGTAATTAGGATATCGGCTGGGCGACCTGTTCAACCTGTTTGAAATTTCACGTGGATCCAACACGCTGCTCACACCGTGACCGTAACTTATGTTAATTCAACATAACTTGCCGTTGATTAGAACAAGCTGCGCCCAAATTACTGATTTACAGCTTAATCAACGTCTGAATAAAGTGGAGTTGGTCACTTTATGCGAGCGAACATAGGAGCGTAAAATCACGTCTGTAAGAGCATCTTCTCTTCACACTTCGTATATCATTGTTAACACGATAGCCCTTTGTCGAGCGTCTCAAACGTATAATTCCATGCGCTTCGCATTACGTTTCTGTAATTGTATCCAGCGGATCGTACCATTATCTTTCACTCAAAGGACGAATTATGAACATTAATATAAAGTGTTTCCACTCGCAACTTTCCTCGGAGAGGAAGAGGCGTCTCGACCGTAATCTATCGTAATTGGATCTCTCTGTTGAACGTTACTTCGCGATATACATTAGCGACCATAGATTCGGTGCCAGAGCACACCGTCAAGATATGTCGGTCAGACATTAACATTCCGTCTCTATACTTCATTCGTTTCCGTGTTATTGGAGTAGACGTAGACGCGGCCGACCGCGAGGCAGGATGAGGGAGGGATGGGGAATCGAAACCGCTAAATGGGATTGTTAGAGAAACTGAGGAATAAATAACGTCCCCAGCAGAGACGACGTTCGCGAGATACAGCTGGGGTTCGTTTAACCCAGCGGAACACCGCCTTTTACTCTCGACCGACCGTCCTGTCAGGTTATTCAGTTCGCTTTGGCACCGCGCGTACCTGCCGCAGTTACTCTCTTATCAACATGTACAGATCACACATACTACGGCTAACCAAAACGCAGCATAGTTACTCGCCTCTCCCTCGACGGCTCTGTTAAACTTAAGTCGCACCGTCGCGCTGATATTATGTAGCTTTCCTCCCATATATTACCATCATGAGTTGCTTATTACTTGGCGCAAGAGTTCGTAATAATGAGACTTACGGTCGATTTCGTCCGCTTCCTATGAATCCGCAAGTATTCGTTAAATTCATACGATATGTGCGTTTCCTGCGCAAATAGACGAGACATCCTGACTATCCAATCGATTCCTTGAGTCGATCGTGATTTTAGGGAATTTCGACTTGGGAGGCATGGTTCAAATATTTAATGTATACGAAATTAATAAACAGAAATTAATAAACATTTTGTGTCTAATGAAACTCGAGTAAACAAGATGTTTTAATTATATTTATATGTATTGATAATATCGTGTGCGTTTAATGGTTTGCATCCTCCATTAGATAATCAGGACATATTCAAATTAATCGAATCAGTCACTGCTTGCCTCTGGCAATATAATATATCCATACGGTATAATAACGGGAAAGGGCGGCATATTTACATACATGAATTTGCATGCAATACCAAAATTCTCGCACAAGTTACTCACGTCGTCTACACTTTAGAAGCAATGAATTGTAACATCGCGTCGCTGAAGATCTTTTTACGGCGTCGGCGCCGAGCAACGACGAAGTCGAGTGAATTTTTTTGCTACATACATATGCACATACGTACAGTTGAATATACAATTTAAATATGCAGAGTGCTGTAAAGTTACCAAAAAATTCCCTCCCAGCCGGTATTAAACGAGGTATTAAACGAAAGATCACCTGCAAATCTGCCAAAGAGAAAATTACGAGCAAAATTATTGTTATCTGAGTCCACATTTCAGTATCATTTCCGTGTCACTGAAGCGAACATGATTCACGAGCAACGTTATCTTATATACACGTCAGCTGATAGCTGCATAAAATTTTTACAAGCTTACCACCTCTCTTATATACGTAAAGACACATTGCACCAGTTAACGAGTGTGTGATCGTCCAAACTAAACCATACAATTAGTCGGTCGCGAACATGTTGGTGGCCGTCCCGTTTTTCGTATTTGTCACTTGGATATTGACAAAACCAACCAGCATTGGTAATCTAGTTTCTTTCGTAATGCCGTCAAGTATTTGCGAACAATTCATTGCCGTGTTATCACAATAATAATGCGCAGATGCTGGCTGTTCGATCTCCACAAAATATCCAAATGGCGACCTTAAGGAACCTCAACCATTGATCCTGAGATGGAAGGGCAGTGACATAAGTTTCTTGTATCCGGAGAACAAAAATAGGACATTAGAAATACACACGGGTGATACCATTCATCTGGTGTGTCCAGGCAAAGATAATTATCTTAAAGATGAATATTGGGGTGATCAAGTCCCAGCGACCTGTGTATGGGATAAAACGTTCCGCGTAAAGGGCGAAAATTACGATTTCAGAACCTTAACTTGCGCGAAAGATCCTGAAGATAGTACCAAATATAGAAAACCACCATGTTGCACCTGCAAGCACAACCCTGTTGAAATTGGTTTTAAAATGGGTAATGACTTCATAGCTACTATTGAGATATGTTACAACGATGAAACATATGAGACGTATTATACGAAATTCCGGATGACGAAGCACATAGGAAATTTTCAAAGAAGCTATCCTAGGTGAGGTCTTCTAATTACGAAAAAAGACTAATCACTTTTCGACGAAATATAATTATTTTCAAAAGAATCTCTAAATAAATTTTGAATGCTCGATATCTTCGCAAATATCCTTGTATCCTAATAATTTTGAAAGTATTGTGCTAAAATAAACCTACGACATATATCTATTCTATAAATAAAAAATATCGTATTTGACAATCCACTTGCGATAAATAGTTGAATAGATTTATCTTTAAGATCGCACTCAGTCAACGATCATTTGTTCCAGACCACAATTTAAGCAGGGTAATTTTTTTCATGGCATAAATGTGAACAAATTGTATACATTTCGAGCCCAAAAAGAAACGCTCGCTAAAATCCTGGGATCGTCCGATCTAGTGGCAGGAAAATTAAGGGAATCAGTGCAGTTCCTCTCCCGCGGTCATTTAGCGGCCAAATCGGACTTTATATATGGCTCTCAGCAGAGGAGCACCTTTTGGTACGTGAATGCCGCGCCCCAGTGGCTGTCTTTCAATGATGGTAATTGGAAATTGCTAGAAACCAGCATCAGAGACTTGGTTACAAATCGGAAATTGGATCTCGATGTTTATACGGGAACGCATGATATAATGACCATGAAGAATATTTATGGTGTGCAAACGCGTTTATACTTGTATCCTGAGCGTCAAGTCTTACCCGTACCAAAGTATTTTTGGAAAGTCATCTACGATCCAAAAAGCAAGAAGGGTACCGCGTTTGTGGGTTTGAATGATCCGTTTATACAGTCGAGGTATACAAATATGTTTCTCTGTCTGGATGTCACTAAGGAAATCACATGGTTGAAATGGGATCCTAACAATGTCACGGCTGGCATTTCTTATGCGTGTACCATTAATGAGTTACGAAAAAAAATACCTGAAATACCAGACCTTTATGTGACCAATCTTTTAAAATGATATAAAAACGAATCACTCCGGCGAACTCCAACTTTGTAAACATCAATTTGCAATCGCGACAAATTAATTTTTTTCTGTTTTAAGTCTTTTCCACATATTCCGCATATATAAATATCTTATAAGGTAAATAAATAAATCGTAACATAGTCATAAGTCACCAATGTAAAATATTTTATGATTTAAATTTGATTTTTACGAGGAAGTTAAAATGCGCTTCGCCTCATAAAAGTTATTTTAACGAACATATTAATTTGATGTCTGATTTATAATATTCCTATCTAGTATCAAAGATATTTGTATCTTGTTTAATTCTAATACAGAATTATCGTAAATTTATCTAATATAGAGAGAATGTCTGATGCTCTGAAAGCTTGTATGGAACAAAACGTATTGGATCGTAGTAATCCGTATGTCAGTTGGCCGATTTCCAAAATATACCAGATCCAGAGAGAGTACATAATGTCTCAAAAACGAATGAGTTATTAAATTAATGCATCACGTAGACGCGAATTGGTAACATGAGGATACAACTTCTTATTGAGATAAATTACCCTCGAGAAATTATTTCCATTTCATTGGAACAAAAGTCGTTCGTGTGTGTTGCAATGACATGCGAAAGATGTCGAAAGGTGTGTTGAAAGGTGTGAAAAAATTACGCGTTAATACGATACATTCAACTTTATCTTAAATTCGATAAAGCAAAATTTATTTTTAAAGATTAAGTTCCCGCGGAGACCGTTATCTGCGTCATAACTTTGCGAGAAGACTCGTTCTTAGCGGAAAAGATATCGGATATCTTTTGTAAACCGAGAGACGCGACAAACGTGCATGTGCAAACAATAGACCAAGTTTTACTTGTTTTTAAATAAAAACACCACTAGAATATCACGTTACGGAAGAATGTCAAATCGTATATCGTACTGTACTGATAAAAATATGTATAATACCGAAAAGAAATATTTATAGAAAATCGAATTAACACGTATGCAATATGTCGTTATAGAATTCGTGTATTGTTTTAAATGTAGTTAGTTAAAATTAGTTTTGTTACGATATAGAAATAGATAAAAATTCTGTATATAATCGTTAGAACAGCAACAATAATCTAACAATAACATGTAGAAAAATACTAACAAATAGTATTAAATAAAATAAATTGTAATTCTGACATTTATACATATACATACATATATATATATCTTTATTTATTTATTGCACCTTTCTCTCCCTCCCTCCCTCCCTCCCCCCCTCTCTCTCTCTCTCATAGCTTTCAGCAGTTAACGTTAAAATTATTATGATGAAAATTACAGTATATTTTTATAATAGAAAAAACAATACTCAGAATATATTCATCAAAGTCCATCTAGAAAAAATAATTCAATTCAAATTCATCACGCATCCAATATGCATGCTGGTATTACGGTAATTTTGTTATAAATAAATTGAAGCGGCACACGATGTCCCAGTTAAATGTGAATAAATTATTAAATATCACTTATGACAACAGTATATTAAATATCAATTTGGTGAATTAACAAAGACAATTTCTCCCCGTTTCTTTAAATTCCTCAAAAATATGGAACGTTTCTAGCGTTCGACACACGATGCGTCTCTTGAAATAAATTTCGTGACAATCGTTTCAGATATACGTTTCTGTGATACGTCATGCTCATGTCCACAAGTTACAAAGTTAAGATTTTTTAGCTTATCTGATATTTTTTAAGATTAATATTTGACTGAACGTCTTACTGTACATATGTCAAACAATTTGAAATGCGACAGCAAGTAAAAGCGCACGATGTTATAACTGTGTTATCTGAAAGGGATTTGACACAAAATCTCGGGGCATATAATTAAGTTCAAGGACAAATTCCACCGGTAAGAATTTAGTCTGACTTTTGAAGAACGCGAGCGAGAGAACATACGGGACCCTCTTCTGTCCGATAGTTCGCGAGAGAAATGAAAAGTAGGGCGAGGATCGTAAAAGCAGAGCATGCCGTCTCGCGTATCTCACCTTGTACGTGTCCGCATCGAGATTTAAACCCGTCGGAACATTCTGAGGATTTCTCGGTGCTTTCCCTCCCCAACGTGATGGTGGAGCATCGAGGTAAAGCGTCAAGAGTCTCTATTCGATAACTCCGTTTTTATTTTGAAAGCAACCCCCAATACAATTGATTTCTATTTATTAAGTGAAAAGTCAGTTCTATCAGAAACGGTCGCGCGACATTAATTGTGCATCGTTATTCTCGTGTGTCTATAATAATTTTTGAAATATTTTTTCCGATTTACATGAAATAAAATTGAAACCATACGATATGTGCAATTTTGACTTGTTTGCGAAGTTTTAGCAGCTAGGTGTGAAAGATAATCAAGGAATGGTTGTATAGTCTCTCCCTCTCTCTCGTATACCCGAACTCGTTGTACGTTCGGGAAAGTTAACAAAGCGTAGCATACCAATATTTATTTAACCGATTTGAAACGCAATTACAAGTAGCGCGATGTCGAGGATTACGAAAGGAAATAACAATTTCAATTGCTACGAAATGAACGATGGAGAAGAACGCGAGGACACATCGATGCGAATGGAAATTCTGCGTATCGAAATATCTTAAATATAGAATAAAACTCGCAGAGCAGCCGGATGAAAGGGAGCAATTTTTACGGAGCGAGACTTTAGAAGAACCGTTTGCACGAACTACAACTTGCAGCACTTAAGCTCAATTGACACAGAAAAGAGCGTCGGCTGTGCGACTTCAATTAGCTGTAACGAACGAAGAATGCACCACTTCTCGATAACACTATACCGGAGTTAATTGATGGGTACCTACAGCTCGTATGGGCGTATATCAGTAGGGCGATCCTCGAACTGCATTTATCAAAACGTTTACATACAAGTTGTTACGCGACAAAACGCTTCTATCTAAACGTACAGTTTAAAAGATCGATATTAAGATGAAAGAAGTAAGATGCTAACAATATAAGCGATTCTAAATTATTTCCAACTTATTTGATAGTTCGAAAAGATCTTTTTTTTTATTAAATTGATGCGAATTCTTTTGCGGCTTATAAATAAAAAAAAAGCCTCCTAAACATTTTGCGAAAATTATCACATATCTTATATTTTATTTCAACCGATTAATGAGCGAACCCATTAATGAGTTTGATAGGTTTAACGAGGAACGTAATTCGTTATTAATATTGGCTTTATCGGGATTTCTAGTCGAATTCGTGATGTTTTGGTTTAACATCTAGATGGATTAATACCGGATGATTGATTGACTATGCGTCTCAATAAAGAGCCTTTGTCCCAAGAATATTACGAATAGTGCATGCTACTTATTTCTCAGGCTCATGGTGAAATCTATTACTATACAAGGACAGAACTTAAAATAGAGTGTATCATTAGGTGGAGTGTATCATAACGCTAAGATAATGCAAATTTACCGTACGGGTTCGACGTGATAACATACAGCTAATGTTAGTGTATTGGCACGAGCGTATTATGAGGGATCGTATATAAAATATCTCTCGTTTGAATTTCATAAAGATATATTAATAACTCATTCGTTTATATTGAGAGATTGATATATAATTGAGAGATAAGTTTACGTTAAAAATTTCGCTTCTCCGATTTACACTTACTATATTCCATTCTTTCTTTGAATGTTAACTAACGTAAATATCAAATTAATATATTATTAAGCTTGCAAAACGCAGTCTTAAAGATTTACATTAACTCCGACTAATTTCTACGTGTACGTCGACGCACTTAATTAATATTTAAAAATAAGCCAATAGTAAAATATTATTATACATTATCATGTACAAAACAAAAAAACAAACAAAAGAACGTAAAAGCTAATGGAGAGAGAGGGAGAGAGAGAGAGAGAGAGAGAGAGAGAGAGAGAGAGAGAGAGAGAGAGAGAGAAGGAGAGAGAATGTAATGTAACATTAACACGTTGACTGCCACGGGCATTACCGGCGTTCCATTAGTTTATGCATAAAGCGTAACTAATTGCATCTAACGAATTAAACACGTGACCAGCAGGGAATTATGAATTCAGCTGATAAATATATAGATATATATATATATATATAGATTGGGAGATATATATATCATATATTTATCCTAACTATGGTTATTCGAATTTTAGTCAAGTTTTGAAACAATTCATGGAGATCAACGTGGCGATTAATGTATTAATAATAATAACTGTAAACTGAAAGTATTCTGAATAGATAGACGATATATGATCACAAATCTGAGTCACAAGTCGAACAAGTCGACAAGTCAGATAGTTGCAGCTTTTGTGATGTGTACTTGGACACAGCCAATGTTCGTGACATGTTATTTTGGCATGAAGGTTGGTCAATTGAATGATAAATCAAGTATTGGCTTCCGATACTGAACGAAATTGTGCTTCTGTGACAACAGTATCTACTTTTCGGGCTATAATCTTTCGGCAGATTAAATAAACCGTTCCGATGGAATCGATTATTGCTAACATAGCGATACATGAAACAAGCGTTAAACGCCCCGAATTGTGATTGAACTGTCGAACCGAAAATTCCGTATCAATAATAGAAAATACATTTTTATAGACATCTGCGGTTTAGCTTTATAGTAATATTGAACGATGTGGTTTCATAAAATTCCAATTGTTTGTTAAACAGTACATTCAACGGGCGATCAGTATATTGCCCAATCAACAAGATTCAAATAACCTAACCTAACCTAAATTGGTATACGTTAAATTAATACCTATCGAATATTTTCGTGAATGTATATTTAGAATTATCTACAATAGATGTCTGAACGAGATGTATTGGTTACTTGCTTTAATAATAAAATTCCTTCGATAATTTACTTGAATTTTAAATATCTATCACTTGATATACGTATCTTGATTTAATCATTCGAATCGTTTTTAAAAAGATTTAAAGCGTAATTTTACCGATACGATGCTACATAGACATATATATGCTTTTTCGCGTGTTTAATGTTGCATACTATGGCGCTCTAAATCTAAATACACGAAACGTTTCCAACCTTACTTTAGCCAAGTAGTGACGAGAGCAGCAAAGAACAGGTTTGAGAAACGAAATTGCAACGGAAAATTCGCTTACCTCGAAAATAAGCTAACGATATTTACGATGGCACGGTTGTCCTAACCTCCCTTGTACGATTACATGTTTACTCGATTATAACGTAAAAGCTCGCGAAATGATGTGGTCGGATTTTTCGCCTATCTGGAAATGAAAGAGTACTTAGCATTTAACGTTTACCGCGATTGGTTTCGAAACGATCGTCAGCTAATCGCGACAGGGTATTCAAATGCATGTACAATGTGTGTGTACGTGTCTATTCATATACGTTATATGTTGCATACTACGGCACTCTAAATCTAAATACGCGAAATGTGTGTGCATGCTATACACATATATATACATATGTGAGCGTATGATAATTGGAGAAATTTTTCAATGGCACCGAATAATCATTAAAAAAATCTAAAGTGTAATTCAAGACCGACATGAGCCGCGATAGATTATATGTACGTCCTTACGTTTTAATTTGCACACTGTAGCGCTCTAAATCTAAATACGCGGAACGCTTCCAACTTTACTTTAGCCAAGTAGTGACGAACAAAGTAAAGAATGGATTTGAGCAACAAAAATGTTACAGAAAACACAGTTACCTCGGAAATAAGCTAACGATATTTACGATAGCATGATTGTCCGCTAATCTTCTTTACGCGATTACGTATTTGCATTATTATAATATAAGAGTTCGCGAAACAATATATGTGTATATGGTTGAATTTCTTGCCTATCCAGAAATAAACGAGTACTTAGTGTTTAACATTTTCTGCGATTGGTCTCGGAATAATTGTCAGTTAATCAGAATAGATTATTCAAATGTATGTATGATTGTTTGCTTGTATATATGTGCTATACACATATGAATGCGTACGTGAGCGCGCGTAATCGGAAAAATATTTTGATGGCATTAAATCGTCATTAGAAAGATCTAAAGCTTAATTCAACAGCAACACGAGTCGCGATAGGCATATATACGTTCTTGCGTTTTAATATTACGTACTATAGCGTTCTAAATCTAAATACGCGGGACGCTTCTAACCTTACTTTAGCCAAGTAGTGACGAGCAGAGCATAGGACGTGTTTGAATAACAAAATAGCAAGGGAAAACTCGTTTACCTCGAAAATAAGTAAAAGATATTCACGATGGGATGGTTCGGATGTCCGCTATCCTGTCTATACACGATTACATATTTACGCGATAATGCAAAAGATTACGGAGAAAGGATGCTGTCGGGATTCTCGCCTGTGAGAAAATGGACGATCGTTTGGCATCGAACGATTTTCGCGGTGGATTTCAGAGCAAACGTCAACCAATCCCGACAAAGTAGTCGGATGTTTTTACGCACGATTGTACATATATCATGCGATAATCAGAAAAATTTTTTCATGACGCTGTTAATTTCAATATATTTCCCATATTGAGGCTATTTCGAGCATCAGGACTGCTTCAAGTTGCAGAAAATTAATATTTGTTTGTTTTTTTACATACACCATGTTACACTTTTTGTACTCGAAATATCACATATGCACTTCGAGAGATTCTCAATCGCGATACCTTCAGGCAATAGACGGAATAGAAGTTAAACTGTTCCGCATTTCCCGCGATTTTGGCTCGCCACAGGCAGAATTGGTACGCGTGTTGTCGTTAGGAATATCGAAAGTATGTGTCGCGCGTTCGTTATAGAATATTATTAAACAACACCTGTAAATAGATATTTCGCGGTACGAGCTTGTCGGGAGTGCTAAACGAAATCTCATTCCATTATAGTGGCTTGGGGCTGGAGTTGCTACTCCGGACATTTCGACTCGCGGAAAGGTTCTCGCGAGGTAATTATCGCCGAGAGTACCGAAAGTAAGTGTTATATATAAGTTTGTTACAGTAAAGTATCGTTGCTGTACATAACTGTGGAAATGTCACGTGAAAAAAAAATGTGATGTCTATTAAGATCTATTGAGATATTTCGGTCATTTCAATTGTTAGATGTTCGATCGGTTCACAGCACTTGTATGCATTCCAAAACTCTTCTGTACTTGCCGCGATTTTAGCTTATGGTAATAAGCTTCGTGTACGAATTGTCATCGGAAATGTTAAATAAGCATCGCGCGTTCGTTATGAAAGAATAATGTAAAATGTACATCTGGTAGCTTATTTACTAGTAGCGACGAATAAAAGCTTCGTCCTATTATGGTAACGCAGAATTCAAGTAGCTCTATTTTTACGCTTTTAACCTACGGAGTGAATTTCACTTGGGAATTATCGTCAGGAGTGGTGAAAATGTAGTTATTTGTGCTCTCGTTGTGCAAAACATAGAAAATGAATATCTCTGAGCAATTTGACTTGTGAATAATGAATACTATATTACTCGTTCGTTAGGCTAGATTACGACAACTCAAAGAACAATTTATAAATTGTAGATTTAGGCTTTACTCTCTCGCCATGCTGAAGGAAAAGTCGGTAAGCCATATTCCTTTCGCGAACTTAATTCTGATTGAATGAAACTGAATGATTTTTTCTGTAGAATATAGAGTAATCAGTGCATGAAACTATAAGAGTTATAAAACAAATATGAAATATAGAAAACATGATTATGTTATGTTATATAAGCTTGAAAAAAATATCAAAAATGTTTAGCTGGGGTATATATATGATTAATTTCTACACACACACACACACACACACACACACACACACACACACACACACACGTGTGTGTGTGTGTATATATATATATTTACAAAAAGAAAATTTTAATTTCCAAATGCTTTATATATACATATTTACAAAATATTTAAAATAAAATAAAATATTGGATAAAATTGATATCGAATATAAAAAAAAGAAGAGTTATCTCCTCCTTTTTGTGTTCAGGTATTTTTATAAAATATTTACATTAAAACAGTCGGTAATGTCAGTGTTCTCTAGTTATCTCTGTGCTATCTGAGCTCTGCAGATCGCAAAAACAAAAATTACCCAAAACTTTAACTGCACTCTTGTTATATTTAATCTTACAAAATTTGCAAATTTAAAAATTTCTCACATGTATTTGGTTTTCAGTGTCATGATAGAATATAATCGTTTATTTGTTAATTGTATAATCATTAAAAAGATAAATAGTGTATTATTTCCTCGGGTTTATTGATTGGTTTTTAATGATGCAAACAGATTAAGATCATACAAATTTATTTATAGCATGTACCATATGAATAAAAGAGGGAAATGATACACTTTTGTTTGCTTCGCAAGCATGGTTGGCGGTGGAGGTCGAGTATACTAGATGAAATTCGACAAAGGTGGAAACTGGAAGCAGACAGAAACTTCACGTACACGCGACGAGCCCGGCTCGTCTTCCTCATTCGACTCGCATCTCTTTCCCCTACCTTACGCGTCGTTACTCACTCGCTCCGTGCTCCCACACCGATGTACGAACGACGCACGTACACATGCGTGATCTCTTATCAACGGGTCACACACATGCAAATGCCTGCGCACATCTACACATCCATACACTCACGCACGCAACCGACACGCTCAAGGTACCTCCGCCCACTGCCGTTCATCCAATCGCATCGCGCTTTCTCTCTCACGCAGTACCTCCTTATACCCCTCTCTATCTATCGCAAACCTTCATGCTCTCTCCCTCTCTCTCTCATTCTCGCTCTTTTCGCTCTTTAGGATTCTCGTTACTCACTTGCCGATAATCTCGCAGAGCTCGTAAACATCGTCGAAGAGAACCTCGTCGTCCGCCATAGTGACGACGAGGAAGAGGTCGAAGGAGTCGACCTAGGAGCTAGGAACCTGCACGCGCTAGGAGAAGCGTCGCGGTGAAGCGAACGCGTGATAATTCGTAGCGCGTGCGGGTACGCGCCTTTCTCTCTCGCTCCAGTCGTAGTCCCCAAGTCAACGACGTCGTTGTCGTCGTCGTGGTCGTCGTTGTCGTCGTTGTATTCGTGTCGCGCGGAATACGCGCGGCGTGAGCGTAGCCACGTATTGAGGATTCACGGCCGCCTCGCCGTCGCACCCGTCCCTCTCTCCTTCTACCTGTATCTCTCTCCCTCTTGCTCGCGCGCGTGTTCCACCGCTGGACTCCGCTTCGCTTTTACGCACACGTCACGCATATAAACACGCACACACAATCGTGAATAATGCACTCGGTGTGTCAGCACACCACCGACCGCCCGACCGCCGTCACACTGCCACTCCGTCGACGGACACGAGCCCACACCGTACGGTTGCAGTGGGGTGCGATCGTGAATCGTACGCGGCGCAGCTCTGCGCGAAGTGATACTGTATCGGGGGAACGCCGCCTCGTCGACACCGCCTCGTCGCCGTTCAAGGCGCGTTCGCTCGCTCGCTTATCCTTGCTCGTCTTGCCGGCAATACGAGGACGCACGCAGAAAACAAAGCGTCGTTGTAGTATTATGCCAGACTCTGTAGATAGGCCTCTGTGTCCTAGCGTTGAGCGCGGCAAGAAACCGAATAGTAGGATCACCGGTGTGGTGTCTCTTCGCCGGGGCGCGTGACCACGCACGTTACCGGTCGTACGACAACGAGAGTCGAGCCGAGAGACGACCGACGGACGGACGACGGTGGACAATACCGATGTGACACTGCACACGCTATCCCGTCTGTCAAAGGCCGGGGCAGTGGATTCGCTCGCTCCGAAGCAAGACTGGTTGCATAAAACGCGGCGAGCGGCTGCGCCGACCACCAGCCGTTCTCCGCCGACGCCCCCTCTGCGGTCGCGCTGTGCATGGAGGGGCGGGCGTGGCGCTTGCCTCTCTTTACTCGCAACCTTTTGCGCTTTAACGTGTCCTTTACTTTCTTCACTGACTCCCTCGTCGAGCGCTTCTAGATTGATATCCGTGAACCTTTCGACGGTGGCCCGCGCTGTCGAGACATCATCGTCTGGTCTCTCTCAGAGGCATGATCGGTACTGCTGTTTACCAGCAGTTCTGATGGTATCAAGAGTAACCGCGAGTGACAGCTTTCTTTATGCTCTTCGTGACGTACAATGAGGTGCTATTCTCACGTTCGTAGAATATGGGAGCTGAAGACTTCCTTTGATAATGTTCCTGCAGATTGGACGAGATTATTAGTTCAGTCGAATAGCTCCATATGTAGATACTGGACATAATTATCTTTCCCGGTTGATATTGGGTATCGGCTGTCGATGTAGAAGAGTGTGGTGAGCAAGAAATAGGAACTGTTGAAGCTTCATACTGCAAAAATATACTGATGTCATGTCTGATTTGAATTCAATCGTGGATATCATGTTCAATGTATCGAAGTTGAAGCTAGTGAAAACTAGATATTCAAAAGAAACAGTGTTAGATTTTATAAAGAATATTTTTATCTTCTTTCCTTTTTTCCTTTATCTCTTCTACTCTCTCGCAACAGATTATAAATTATTATGAAAAAGATAAAAATACCTCATTATTATACTTCATCGTAAATATGGAAGTCCCTCAAAGATATCTTCAATATCTTCCTTCCGTCCAAATACCGATAAAACTAATATTATGGTACTGTTATACCATCGTTGGTAAATAGCATGTCTGCCTAGACTCACAAATTTGGCTTCTTCTTCAAGATACTTTAAGTGTTTGTGATTAAATCCTCGTAGAACAATTATGTTTTTTCTATAAATATAATCAAAAAATATCTATTATAAACAAGTCAATAGACATGTCAAAGATTTGGTTCAAATTTCCTTTAAAATATATAAAAAGTACACAAAAGAACATAAAATGTACTAAAACATTTAGAATTCAAAACAAGAGGTAAATTGAATCTTGCCCAAATTTTTCCCAGTGCTTAATATAGATGTTCTTTGCTTCATTTGCTACCAATTTATTATAAAGTTCGAGTATACTATGTGTTATCTAAAAAATATATATACTATCAAATTAATTATTCATTAGGCTTTTAAATTATTGATAAATGTACCATCATAGGTAAATATACAAGGTGATATTCTAGTAGAATGTACTTTTTTATCTAGACATGGTAAAAAAGAAATAAAAGTTCAATATCAAATATATAATGTTAATATTAATTATCCCTTGTGTATCAAATAAATATTTAAATTGTTTTATATTTTCGGGTTCTTTTTTAAGGTCAAAAGATTAAAATCTTTTATCAATTATTGTTACATACCATACCTGCTGCTACTCCTAGTTCCATACCAATGCCAGTATTAAGTACTGAGTAAAAGACATATTCATTTGGGCTAACTTTCTTTGTAAATAATTGATACTTTCTGTATTTTTTGTTATAAACAATTTGCCACTTATTATTCAATTTAATTATACTTCTTTTCCTATATCATATAATTTTATATTTCTGTTTACAATTTTTATATGTACTGTTTTGAGTACATATTGTATAATATTATATCTATTTAATATAAAATTAATACAAAACATATATATTTATGATTATATATATTAAGTACCTGATCTTTTTTGCTGTATTATTTGAAGCATCATTATTAGATATTTTATTGGAATATTTTCTGCTATGTATGTTTTGATATTGCATTACATACGTCTAGCAATCATTTATAAAAGAATGTTATAAAATAAATTGATTATATATCTCTCTTAAAGTTATTTACAAAATTCTTATTCTGTCTGTGTATATATATATATATATGTCATTATACTTGAATTATATTGACATATATTTTTATTAGTATCATGAGTATTACTCGATAACATATAAATTAAATTGTTATTTAATATATCATTACTTTGATTTAAAAAATATAAACAAAGATGCAATCTAACCAAGAATCTATGAATAACACTAATATATTTTAATTAATTCTATTATTCTCTTTAGTTTTAATAAGAAAATAGAAAAGGTTTCTTTAATATTAAATTAAGATATTTGTAATTCTACCTGCAACTTTTTATCACAAATAAGTACATTTAAACATGTACTATAAATAAAAATCTCTTTCAATTAGTCAACTTTGGCGATTGTTTCTCGTCATTGTAAGCGACGTATATAACAGTATTCATTTCAAGAAATTTACATTTTATTTACAATATTTACTTACTTTGGCATTTTATTTTACTGGCATTCAATGAAAGGAGTTGTAATTTTGACAGTCCATAACGCATAGGCGCGAATTCTGTCCTGTATAATGCACCGAACTAACCTTCATGACATCGATATATCGCTGCGATGTCATGTCGATTGTAACCGGTAGTGGCATATCGATGTATGCAGCGATACCGAATAATTTCAAAGTAGCAGCGCAGTGTTTGGTACGTAACACGTATAGGTTAGGATAGCTATTTTCATAATTAAAAATATTCGCATGAACACGAAGGTGTCATGTGATTGTAATGAGATATTTGAACATTAACAACGACTGTTAGTCGCATGTGATTCACTGGACGAAATTGTCTAATACATGTGAGGAAATATTTAACTATGGTGTAACAATCAACAGGAGCGTCCTTTGGATCTGCAAATCTAAAACTGTTCTGATCAAGGTTCAAACCAGTAGCGTTCCTTTATTTTGATAGGATAGACGGTTTAGTCGAGAAAAATGGCCACACTCGAAACAGGTGCATCGCTCGTCACTCGAGAAGACATCAACTGGAGAAAAGATTTAATTTCGCAGCTGCGTGAAAGGAATAGATCTCAAACTAATTGTTTTGCTGATCTCATTAGCCTACGTAAGTTTTATATTCTCATTCATATCAAGTCGATACAATGTACAGTGTCAGTACATTGTTTTGGATACACAGAGATAGCAACCGAGTTGTTGCTACATAGTATGTTCATTTACCATATGTCTTGATTAGATATCATAGACACACATTGTATATTATGTTAGTTTCTGCATGAAATATTTTAAATTTTATTAGCTTGTAAATTAACAGCATTTACATATATATTTTATAGAAATGATCCTTTTGTATTACAGATAATAGATTATTTGAGAATGCAAACACATTGCGTGGTGCTAATATGCAACTGACAATAGCAAATGAAACCCTTCGTCGCGAGGTAGCCAGTGGTGGTGTTGGTATAGGTGGAAATCCAGATCTTGAGGCAAGACTGCTAAAGCAAGCGGAAGAATTAGCGATGCTACATAAAAGAAAAGGAGAACATACGCAACAAATAGTAGATCTTAATAACAAGATGCAAGAAATGACAAAAGAACTTCATGCAAAGGATACCAGGTAAATCAAATATATTTATATTTATATGGATTAAACTAATTGCTTATTTTACAGATTTATAGTCTATTATTATTATTTCTTTTCAGTCTTGCAGAAAGTTTAGAAGTTAATGCTAACCTACGCATAGAAATAACTAAATGCCTTGGCAGGGAAAAAGAATTAGAAGGTGTTAATCAAATGCTCAGGGATGAACATCAAGCTTTGCAACTTGCTTTTGCATCTTTAGAGGAAAAACTTAGAAAAACACAGGTATTTAACATATGGTCTCAAAAATATAGTAAAAATTATGCTTTTGTTTACCATATATATCCTTTATAAAAGTTAAATAAATTATTTTTGTTTGTTTCTTTATAATTAGAAGATATTCCTTTTGTATCTTTAAAAAACTAATATTTCAAAACAGGAAGAAAATCGACAATTGATTGAACGATTAATAAAATACAAAGCCAGAGATGCTGAAAAGATGAATGAAGAGAACGACAACTTCTTGAGGTGAGTACATATATTAACAATGATATTTATGCGTTTTAACAGTCGCAATTAGAGATTATAGTCGCAAATGTTGTGAAAGTTATGGGAATTGCTGCCTTTTTATTGCTAACAGGATGTAGAATATAAGATACAATTATAATTTTTGAATTTATGATTATACAGCAAATTAATAAAGCAGTTAATAATTTTTTAATAAGAATTCTTTAATGTTCTTTCTTTTTTAAATTATGAAACTTCTATATAGTAGCAATAACTACCTTTACATTTATAATGCCTTGATTTTTGTGTAATGTAACAATATATGTGTACAGTTTTGCATGTTGTATTTTTCACTTATTTATAAATATATATTCTTATAACAGATTATAACAGATGTTTTTAACTGTTTAATTAGCTTTCAAAATCTCCGTCGATTCTTTCTGCATGCACCTTTGATTTGGTATATATGTATTGTGTATATGTCATGTGTTATAGTATATAGGTTTGCATGAAAGTGTGTTAGTTGATCTACAGAGCAATCTTCTGTTTAATTTCTTTCTTTAGCACAACCTTTCTATGGAAAAACTTATCCTACACTTTACACACTTATAAAATCTGATATACAATTTCAAGAAATATTATTTGACTTATACATTTTATTGCTTAAGATGTAATATTTGAAATACATAGTAAATCTTTTCAAGTTTGTTCTCTTAAATAATTTGGATTGTTATTAATTAAAGTAATGTGTAACTAGTGAATGCATGTTACATAATTTCGAATGTAAACTATCTGTTTATTAACTATGTGATATGCATTTTATAAGTTTTTATTAAAACAAATTAAGGTTCACTCTCTTTCTTTTTAGAAGAAGTGCAAGCAATAACATTTTTAAATATATTAATGAATATATTCATATATATTTTAATAATATATAACTTTTATTATATAAATATAAATATTTTTAAAAGCGCATTTTCATAAGCTATAAATATTACATAAAATATTTAAGCTTTGTACGGAATATATACATTCATTTACATTCTGTTATTCTGGGGCTTTATACACAGGCACATCACACTGCTTGACATTTTCGTTTCAGTTTTACGAGTCCAACAGCCTTTTTGATGCATACCCTATCAAAATTTGGGTAAGTTTAATGAAATGAAGTGAGAAACATTTTGCTTAATGCTAAATAACTGGGTTGGTAATTTAATGGAACTATACACTTTACTTTGCACTTTGTATATTGATTCAGGTATTTTATCTATGGGTGACTATATGGTATATCTCTAATATACATTTATATTATCCCGTGTAAAAATAGCATATAAAAATAGATAACAAACTTGAAAAGAAAAAAAAATATTATCCCATTCTATACCTTTCTTTTGTAATGTTTTCATAGAAATATTGGTTCTGCTAACAGGGAGGAAGTGAAAGTGGAAATTATATGCATAATAAAATGGCATATTCTATAATGCTATAGCTTTGTACAATAAGATGTATGGTGCGAGATAATCACGGAAAGTATTAACATATATTGCAATATATGCTTTAAGTTGCTTTCGCAACTTCATTGGACGTTAATACGATGTTGCATGCATCTAATAATATATCTGTTTTTCATTTCTTTACAGAAAGAGGCAAGCGAAGATGCAGAAAGAGTTAGAAGATGCAGCACGAGACACGCGACCCGTCAGTCCTGATCGCTCGAGCTTAAAAGAAGGAATCGCTGGTCTTCCGACAGCAGTGCCAACGAATGTATCCGTAACGTTTGTACGTTGATTTAAATATAAAATAACTCATATCACGTGCTCCCATTATAAAAGTATTTACACGTGTCAATATTTAATATTTTCAATAACATCGATATGCGGAATTGCATGCTTTGTACGTCGAAATATATGTGTATTTAATAATACAAACTCATTTACAAGCATAACATATTTAATTTCTAATTAAGTTGTCAACTGTTATTTTACTTAGGCAGTGAAATAAATATCTCATAATTTAGTCTTGATATATTCTTTGATTTTACATCGGTGCTTTTTACATGTGAAAGATTATTTTTTTTTACATATAGTTATAACCATTTTTTTTTATATGAAGTGTAGGTTACATGCTGAGCTCTATTAAGTTCTTGTCACTTTAAAAGGCCTTGTCTTATATTATGCTTTGCAATACCTATTGGATATATTAACAACGGTGATGTTGTTTTTGATTAGTCGAATTACAAAAAATTTTATGGTGAAGGTATATCGTTTTCAAATAGGAATAGGATAGAACAAACTTGTCTGTTATCAGTTTCCCAACTTTCTGAATAAGAAATTTTTTCTAAATGTAAAATCACAGTATGTATATACACAGATAAAGGTAATGATGTATTGATAAAATACTGGTAACTTTTATTTTATTGATATTTTTATTAGTAAATTCGGTGTATTGGTAAGTTCTTAAGTTCTATGTACATTTAAGCAAATTAATGTTGCTTGTAAAGTATGATATTAGAGAAATATTTAGTGTTATTATTATCGAAATTAGACTAAGTATCGTTTGATGTCAAAATGTTATGATATATGCTTTGATATATTAATATATTACATCAAAATCATGATAAAAATTTTTATTTGCTTAGCATTAAGTATCCTTGCACTCATGATATTCTTGCATGAAATATCTGTTTTAATTTTATATTTCGGCGTACAAAGTTTATAGTACATGCTATTTTTAAGTAAAAAATTAAATGTTATTTGAAAAATCGAATAGATTAATTGTGAAAAAAAAAATGTATACATTTGAAGTAACGTATAATTATGTACAATATAATTATTGATTCCTTATGGTCAAAGCTTATCAGTGCTTTGCAATCTTTATGCATTGTGAAGTCAAATCCATACTTCATAGGCGTTGCGCGTTTATGTCATATATTTAATTGAATGCATGCAAGATATCTTGCAATTTTATATATCAAGTGTTTAATAATCCTTACAGAGTGCTCATGACGGTGAAGTTTACGCTGTTAAATGGTCACCTACCGATAGAATCTTACTGGCTACTGGTGGTGCTGATAGAAAAGTGAAACTATGGAATATCGCTAAAGGTGATTATTAGAGTATGATTACGATTCATCTTTCATAATATTATTCCAAATTACTGTTGCAAATATATTTACAATTCGTTAAAAATTTTTGATAGAATTTTGAGGTAAGATAAATCACCGCTGCAACTTTTTAATTTTGAATATTGACTAATATTGAGACTATTTTGAGATATTACACCTGTAGAATAAGAAATTTTACACTATAAATCATTGCCGCGAATGATGATACATAGCGCCAATTGCCGCGCGATGGTAGGATGTAAATTACGTTCAAGGCGTCGAACGTGAGCAAGGTAAAGAATGCGATTAGTCGGAGCATTCACGCGGGTAAACGACATGGTAGTCGCAAGTGCATCGCGTGCAAGCGGTGAAGATGATCTCCTCCTGCTAGGAATTTATTTGCTGGTTTTGTTATTATTCAAATTCCCGATGAGGTGCGGTGATGTTGAATTACACGCGTTCCTTCGTTCTCGTTTAGATGCTGCTGAACTTTTACGAAACGTATTCGCGGTCAGTTTTCTATATCCGACATCGACACTAAACATTGGCTCTTATATCTGGTTAATAGTGTAATTATGGCTTTATAACCTAATTACGGTTTACGTGCGTAAAATTGATTTTAACTAGCGAACCACGAAGTAAAATGATACAAGAACCTTATGTGAGCTAGTGGCTAATAAAGATCTTTATTGAGACTGGCAAAACGATTTAGGTGTATTTGTCGACGTAACTGCAGCGCTGTCCGCATTACGATGCATTTATCGCAGGACGTTATGGACGCATTAAATGCATTTGTGTATGAAATGTCTGGTACATAGGATATACTTAAATTCGATTTATGTGATAACTAATATTAGTAGCCAAAAGATTGACATGTGATTTAATTTTTTATACAGAGACAATCATATTTTTTTCTAATCTAAGAGAGAAGTAAAGAATTATTTTTATAAATAAATTTCTGGCGAGTAATTGCGACATCAAAATAAGAGGATATACAGGGTGTCCCATTTTAATAGTGCACTTCGATTATCATTGCAGGGAGCGATCATAAGAAAAATATTTCAAACAAAAGTTGTAGGGTTCAGAGGTAGTCACCTGATGGTGACCTTCATCTTGACCTTGGGGTCAAATCTGAAGGTCATTCGAAGGTCAACATAAAAATTTGAAACGGAAATCCCTATTTTTCAGTACATATTCTTGTAGCTCAGCTCGAGAGCTTTCCAAAATACTATAATTAAATATTTTTTTATTCAGTATTTACCGAGTTACAAGGCTTGAAACAGAGTACCGTCAGTATTACCCAAGGTGTACCACATGGAGGTTGCTCGGTCAGATATACATCTTTTTTGTCTTTTGTGTGTGTGTGTGTGTGTGTGCGTGTGCGCGCGCGCGCGCGTGTGTGTGTGTGTGTGTGTGTGTGTGTGTGTGTGTGTGTGTGTGTGTGTGTAACAAGCTATGCTTGAAAGAGTTCGTAACAATTTTTACGAAAGATTGGATTTATGTATCCAAGAAGGGGGACATGTTTTCGAACACTTTCAATAAAATATGTATTTTATCATTCTTAGGTATCCACACTCACACGCAAGCATGATCACACACACACACACACACACACACACACACACACACACACACACACAAGGCAAAAAAGGTGTAAATCTGACCGAGCAACCTCCACGTGGTAGACCTTGGGTAATGCCGCCAGTACTATTTAAAGCCTTGTAACTCGGAAAATACTGAAAAAAAAAAAACTTAATTATAGTGGTTTGGAAAGCTCTCGAGCTGAGTTACAAGAATATGTACTGAAAAATAGAGATTTCCGTTTAAAATGTTTATGTTGACCTTCGAATGACCTCCAAATTTGATCCCAAGGTCAAGATGAAGGTCACCAGATGATCTCCTCTGAACCCTACAACTTTTGTCTGAAACATTTTTTTACGACCGCTCCCTGCAATGATAATCGAAGTGCATTATTAAAATGGGACACCCAGTATAGTCTTATGAGAAAGGACTTAATATATAAAATATTTGTGTTATTTATTTTTTTCAATAATTCGAGATAAATACGGGATCTTCTCTTTTTCTGGCATCTGTAGGCTCGAGTACGTTCATTTTATCTTCCTCTCCATGTTATATGCTCTCTGCACGTTTCTATTTAACGTAGGCGACGATGCTGGCAGTGTTATTCTTTTCTTGCCCAAAGGTCTCCTCATGATCCACTTAATGAAGTATGTTAACGAATCAACAGGTTACTTTGCGCGGCCGGCGACGTATAGTTTACCCTCGCGACGTCTAGTAAAAGCCGTTTTGTCGGGAGAAACGTTCTCCATGTCGTGGCGAGGCGATCGCACACATGCCGTAACACTCTCGAGTATAATTCCTCTACCCTTCGCACTACAAATTGGATGAAACAACCGTCCTTATTGTATGGGTTATATCCGCTTAGCTCAAAATCTGCTATTCCGAATCTCTCCATCTCTCCACGTATTCTCCATTTCTCGGCCATTTCGGCTTTGTTGCTTCTTCATCGTTCCGCTCTGCCTTAATTCCTATTTCTCCCTTTTCGTCGGTCTCTGTCTCTCTTTCTTCTTCTGTTTCCTCTTGTCTGAGGCGGTTATAAGATCCCCCTTCCTGTTTTGCTCTTTGAATTGCTCGTTACCAATTAAGCCGTCAGAGCATAAATTTAATTAGTCATATTCAGAGAGAAATGCGCGGTTTAGAAGAAAGGAAGGCAACGGGCGAATGGTCGTGTAATGAGGGACAAAGTAATTGAGGGATGTACGTAAATAGAGAATTAAACACGACGTTGCGCGAGCAGATTGTATAATAATGTGTACATAAACATTCTGTTACAGGTGCATCCGAGAGCAAAGGCATCTTAGTTGGCAGCAACGCTGGTGTGATGTCGGTGGACTTCGACTCGACTGGCACCCTCATCCTTGGAGCATCGAACGATTACGCGAGCCGTGTCTGGACGGTCAGTGATCTTCGTTTAAAGGTGAGTTTTTGCATCAATTATCCGATCCAATGCGTGGTCCTGTATTTTTAACGCACTTCCGCAACATCATGACAACTTAGGGGACCGCTCCAGAAACATCTGAGCAACAAAATTTTTTCGTGTTGCAAAGTTTACACTTTGCCGTGAAACTATAATTGTGACGTTAAATTAATCTGTCACTTGTGTATATGTTAATCGTTGCATGTATCATATGTACGAATTGTACATATATAAAAGTCTCTGCTCGCGATAAGTGAAGAAATGCCACAGTAAATACAAAAGTTGCATATAAATTGCGGATTACCGGTGTACAATCGGAAATAACGAGATTTATATTTTCCGCTTGTACATAACGTAAGTATAAATATGGCTAATACGCTACTTAAATATTACTGCTTATAATATTTGCCATAATAATAAATAAATATTACTGCTTATAATATTTGTCATAATAATAAATAAAAAAAGAATGTTCGGACGTTCTATTTTTATCTTTTTTCAAACCCTTCGACAGTCAGACAACGAGAAAAAGAATAGTACGCATACTGTCTAGATGCATTAAAATATCAGTTTTCTAATCAGCCCTCTCTGAAGGTTCCTAAAAACGAAGAAGTCAACGACTCTTGCTCAAAAGATTCCTTATCGCTTACTAAGTCAGGGCTCCCTGTTCGCTTGCACTGCGTGATAGCGGAAGCTAGAAAGCACAACGCGTTTGTTGCTTGGATCACATAGTCATTCACATTCACGGTCATTTGCTATCCGAATATCGTAATTTCTAGCTAGATTACGTATAAAGCTGTGTCTATGCGGGATTACAGAACAGTTGATTATGTTCTTCTTTATTAAAATTAAATATCTTTATTAAAATTCTTTATTAAAATTAAATATTTATCATAGATATTTCGACAGCTTATACTTGTTGACTCAACATTTTTGCATTGATCGATTTTAATATTTCATAGCGTAATGCTATGTTCACACTTTTTCACAATTTGCGAAGATCTTAGTTTGTTTTAACTATAGATTAAAACCTTATTTCATCAACTTATATTTGGTGATTCAATTTTGCATCGATAGATTTGAACTTTTGGAGTTAATAGCTTCATAACGCGCAACAATAAGTCGATGCAATTTACAAGGATCTTATTATTTTAACTCTAAGTCAAAACTTTATCGCCCCTATTTTCTTAGCTTATATTTATGAGAATTATTTTATATAAGCCATTCATAATATATATGAGCCTAATATACATTCAGATTTCGGCCAACGTCTCCTTATACATTTTATCTAAGTTTGCAGCTTTCAGGTGATATTATTTTTTTTTTAATAGCATAACGTTGTTAATGTCTGAGTTCTTTAAAAAATACATAAATATCTCTTGAGATCTTTTGGGTATTAACAATTTAATTTTCCATACGAAGCGAATTGTGATCTGATTCTCCGTCGTACTCTGCATGTAGGTTAATATCGATGCTTGTTTTTAAAGACTTAAATTCCCAGCTTCCAATTGCCGTTCAAATATGCTGTTCATTCGCAATTGTACCGTGGTACTATGGATACTCGCTGTAAAGCCGAGTGTATTATGGAATTAGCGGCTCCATCCCTCTTACGAAGAGATGGAACGTTTGATGCAACAATACTCGACCGAAATATTGAAAATTCATCCGGCAGCAGCGAGTTTGCAAATTTTTTAAATCCTCGGATTACGAACGAAGCGTTGAAATTACGCGTCGAAAGTCATAAATACAGCAATATGGACGAAGATCGAAACAAATGACCGCGAACGCACGTTATATTTCTTTACAAACGCAATATGTTATTAATTCTTAACTTTTTTTTTTAAGTTATATATCGGAATATATAATATCGTTCGAAATAGCAACGTGTGAAATTATTGACATACGAACCCGGAGAAATAATTACACCTATCTTAAAGAATTTCGCTCAGTTGTCTCCAAAATCTAATCTCGCCAACTTCTAAAGTGTAAAAGTACTCTACTCCGAGTTGCTTAAGTTTATTTCCAATTCTCCGTCTGCAATCTGCTCTTTTAAGCAACTGCGAGTTAGGCCGTGAGCGGTATCTACGGTCGCACTCAATCAAGCTTTCACGGCGTATTGCGCCAAGTGCAAACAAAAAGAAGTTACATTATGATGGAACAAATGACCTAACAACTGCAATAATGAGACGCGCTCGTCTCGTCCTCGTGAAAACGTGATTGGCTTTACGGACGTGTCTCAGGAAGCGCATAAAGAGAGACGTCTCGCAAAACATGCATTAAATTACCGGTCTGTTCCGTTGGCGCGCGCGCGCGCGCGAGAATCTACCGGAGGAGCGGTGGAATATGAAATTTATCGTCACCTTCTTCCATGCGATCTATTACCCGGGCCCGTAGTTCATGTAAATGCTCGCCGGCGTGATCGTAAAGCCAATGACAGTTCGCAAAAAGTTCATTGCTGAGTTCGCTCCGTGAACTTCACCGCCCGCGCTTACGTACGCATCAAAAGTCCACGGCTCGGTGTTTCCTGTCTCCTTGACCAGTGCACTGGCCGAAGTTCGTTCGCTTCCGTTTCCTTCATCACCACCGCGGCACACACACGATATCCGTAATGGGGGCAAAACTTTCCGTGCCGTCCTTACGGCGCGCGCTTTCCATTTCCTGTCCTCGAAATATCATCTGAGATATCGAGAAATTGTGAAACGAATAACGCGCTAAATCATTTTACTACTATTCTTCCAGTAACATCTGGCTATTGAATTTCTCGGTTATGCTTCCGGTAATGTTGCAACATCAGAAGAGACAGCGATGTTCTCTGATATTGTACGTAACGTTATACATATCTATTAATGTTTGTGGAAATTGCTCGAGCTAGTACTTCTTTTAATCTTTTACCACTGCGGTTTTTATCAGTTAGACGACTGAAATTAAGAAAATTGAGAGACCGGAATGAAAATAACTCGTGACATTTGTCTATTGATTTCCAAGCAGATGGAACATCCGGCAAATTTCCGGCGGCTTAGGGAGTAGTTACGTTTAATACGTAGATCGATATCGATAATCACACGCAATCGCGACAAACCGCATGTGAATGTCCCTTTTTAACAGTTTCTCTCGTGTCTTCAATGCGGGAAATTGTGCGATACGATAACGAGAACAGTAGAAGAGTTTTACTTAGCGTCTCGCTACGCGGCGACGCGACGAAGTGACGTCGAAGTTTAATATATGACAGCGCAAATGTTGATCACTGCTAATGTACGTTATTTCCTTTGATCTGCACCCGAAGCCGGGCTCCGGTATGTAAGAACTTAAGTACATAGTCTGTCGATAGTCGGCGATGCACACGCGTGCAGTCGTGTATGTAGAAGTAATCAGAGATGATCGATTGCGATGAAACTTTGAGTCCCACGCTATACGTATCCCTTGAGCCATGTGCGCGCGCGCGCGCGCGCGCCTCGTTACTTTGATAGGATTGTCAGAGTGTCGTACTGATGTAACATGATTAAACGCTGGGAGCAACCGGCGATGATTGTCGGCAAAGCCGACGGGAATCGACGGACAGGAGGAGAGAAGCTTCTACGCCAATCCCGCGACCGGTCTTTGCAGTTCTAGACGAAGATCAACGGTACTTTGATTTGTACCGTGTATATGACCAAATCAGCCGGTCGGGTTTTATCGCCAGCTCTCTTTCTTCGGTACCCTTTCGCGGAAGTCGCATCGAATGCTCGCGATCGATTACATCGCGCGGTTGCGTCTGTGGCTCGGATCGTTAGACATATCTTTGCAAACATTAAACGCGCGCTCTCAGACTCCTTTCGTGGAATCGTTAATTTTCGTAGAATTGTTAATTTTCCGTTGAACAAATTATTAAGTGTACACGTAGTCATTTTTGGTAAGATCGTATCATTTCGGTGAATATGATATTGCGTAACAATTGTGGGGGAATTCCCGAGGGAAGAGCAGGGCTTGTTCAATGGCATTTACCTTCGCAATTAGCCATGGGCGGGGTCGCAGCAGCTGACTGGATGTATCGATATTCCGTGTGGATTATTATCCCATATTACGCTGTATTATCTACAGAAATTTGAAATTGCTTAGATGTGCTTCGTAGATCGCTTAATCTCGGTCGTGTATTAACAATACCGTGCAAGAATCTCAAACCCCTCAAACCCCTCAAACCAGCGCTGCTTCCGTCGCGGAAGCTACCGTCGCGGTTTCAGTATCCGAAGTAATCTCTCCCGCTTTCATCTCTCTCTCTCTCTCTCTCTCTCCCCCCCCTCTCTCTCTCTCTCTCTCTCCCCCCCTCTCTCTCCCTCTCTCTCTCTCTCTCTCTCTCTCTCTCTCTCCTCTCGGCGCAATTACACGCGTATTCGTTAGATCACCTGACGAGATTCGGCGAAGACGTTGCCGGTGAGATTGGACCGATAGTCTGTCTTTACAGCCGCGCAATTCCATTACATACTTGATACCTCGTTCCCCAGCTAAACGCGCGTCGTAGTATAAGCTCCCGCTTGTTCCGCGCGCGTTCTCAATGTGCAGTAATATCGCCGTTTACAGCACCGGCGGTTACCGGCGGAATACAATGTGTAATATATCCATGCGCTATCGAGCGAGAGCATACGCGTATCGTTCACGTATATCGCCGGATGTGTTAAATGTGATTATTCGACGCATCGAGGAATCGTAGCCGTTGCTGCACCCGTCGCGCATTCCGTCCAATCGGTCCGATCCTTCTCTTCTTTCTCTCTCTCTCTCTCTCTCTCTCTCTCTCGCCTCCTGCTCTCCGTCTCCTTGCTCTTACACGCTTTCTCGCGCCGGCCGTCGTACCTGAAACAGGGGCTCCCTCGCCGAGGAGAATCTACTGAACAGCGGCAGTTTCATTCCGAAGATTGGTGGCCAATGGCGCGTAAACGGCATGGGGAAACATGCGGACTCTGAGGGATTCGAGCCATAACCAGTCTGTAGGTTATTCAAGCCGAGAGATGCGAGAGAGAGAGAGAGAG